ACTCTAATTATTTTGGATACATATTCTTTTCCTTTGCTTTTAAAATTAACTATTTAAAGTATATTTTACGAATGTTGAAAAATCATTTATTTTGTGAAAAAATTAGATTTTAAAAATTATATCACTTATTATGTCAAGTTATTTATGTGCGGAATAAATTGTGAATTTTTTAAGAAAATGTTCTCGATAAGAAATAATTTTAAGGAAAAAATTTTACTAACAAACTAAATGATATTTTTATATTTAAAGAGCTTAATTTGCACATTGTGCTGAACAAAAAATGGACCTCTCTGAATAACTTTTGATCTACTGATCACTTTCAAGGACTCAATCTTAATGGTTAGAGGGAGTGACCTCAAATATGCTCATGAATTAGTGCAGACGAAAAATAAGTAAAGAAATCAGACACAAAAACAAACTTTCTCTGAATAAACATAAGTTTTTTTCGACGAATTCGGAATTCTGTCCCCCAAAATATAGGAGGTAGCCGCAACTTGTAAACTATGGCCCCCATAGTTTGAGCAATAAAGTGGTCCAAAGTTTGGACCACTCAATGTTACATTTTTTTTTTTGCAAGCAATGATGAAATTTTTTTATCCAAAAATGATTCTATGCAAAAAATAATTTTTAGTAAATATTTGTTACTCTATTTGATAATTGTCGAAAAAATTTTGATTGTAAGTTATACAATTTTTCGCATCATTATAAAGAATATAGTTTTACAAGGCAAAATACAAAATTCGAGCATAATCGGTCGAATAGTTCCTCAGAAATCGAATTTTAAATATTTTACTTTTGTGAAATTTAATTTATCGGGAACTATTTGATCGATTCCGTTCAAACTTTGTATTTGCCTTTTGAAATAGTAATCTTTAAAAAATGATGCTAAAATTACATGCCTTACAATTAAAAAAATTTTGAACTATTATTAAATAAAATAATAAAAAATATTAACTAAAAGTTGTTTTTTGCATGGAATTATCTTTGGATAAACGACTTTTATAGTTGTGTGCAAACATTTTTCAATTCCCTTAAAAAAGTTCAGGAATTATAGCGAAATATACGCAAAAAGTAAAATTAACATTAAGTGGTCTCAACTATGGAACACTCTCCTGACCAAACTATCGGAACCAGATTGCGGCTATATTTTGGGGGTCAAATATCTGAATCCGTCGAAAAAAGGTATGTTTATTGAGAGAAAGTACGTTTTAGTGTCTGATTGCTGATTAATAAGAGCCTCGTCTGCTCTTATTAATCAGCATATTTCAGGTCACACTCTCGAGCCATTATGATTGAGTCCTAGAACGTGAAGATCAGATCGTTAGATCAAAAGTTATACAAGATGGTCAATTTTCAACAATTTTGTGTACTTTGGAGTAGCTTCTCGTCTCTCTACAGGGAAAATAAAAACAAATAGTAACATAACTAAATATGGATACCAGAACAAGAATTTTGAAATGGCAGCTGTTTATTAATTTTACAATAATAATTAATTATGGCAATTTGTTATTGTTTTTTATTATTTTTATTCATGAATGTCTTATTATGTTCTTTAAAATGAATCTTTCTTATCATTATTCTACATTTTTATAGAAATGTAAGTTTGTTTTTTAATGGTTATATACAATACCTGATTTCAATGCCTATTTGTTTCCATGTTTAAAAATAAATAATAATCGTTTTCTTATAAGTTACTCTTGAATATTTTACTAAAAAAGTAGGTTACATTACTTTGAGTTTATATTGAAAATAAATATCTATATTTAGTAAGTATATATTTCATGAAGTAAAGACGATCCTTTAAACAACTTTGCATTTCATTAAATGTTTTTAGAATTTCTTGCAAAGGATATTATTTTTTAATTTTTCATTATTGTTAAGCAAAAAATAAAAAATTGTTACTAATCATTTTCTCTTACATGACACAATTACTTAATTAAAAGTACAAAAAAATATTTATTTCTATAAAAATTGGTCACAATTTGAAATTAAAATTGGAATATAAGAAAATAAAAGAAAACGTTTCCAGGATGAAAAAAATGCGAAAATTTTATTTTTCATAAATCACAAGGAAAAAAAAGCTTTTACTTTATTTTATTATTTTCTATTTTTGAATTTTGTGCCTTTTAAATAAAGTCGGAATGTATTGGAATGTAAATTTTTCGGTTGTTCATAAATTACTATTGAAAAAAATTATTGCTGATTGTCATCAGACAAAGAGATTAGTCCTAAAGTGTTCGAAATTGCTGATAAATTTCACAATCTGAATTATGCTTAGATAGTTCAAGAACTAATTGAAACAACCTTTTCCATTAAACTGTGTTTATTTCAATTAAGAAAACTTTAACTTGTAATCGAAGATCAGATGCCTTTCGGCGATATGATTCTAAAATATGCAGTGATCAGGAAACAATAAAAATTTGAAAAATCTTTCAGTACAGACCTCCATTTAAAATGTAAGACCTATAGCTAATCGGACAGTAGTTTGAATTTCAATTAACTATAAATTTATTGTACAAATAATAATGCTATAAATTTCGCTTGCGAAAAAAATTACCGGGAAATAATTATCATTTAATTTGTCTCCAAGTTTTAGCACTCCAGTTCTTCGAAATTGGACGTAAATGCTATCAGCAATCAGCTAACTTTGATGATATGATGATTAATTATGATTGTTTTGAAAAGGATTGAAACTTACATTATCGTCAATCGCGGAGGGGCACTCAAAACGTGAGCACTCTAGTTACTCAGAAAGTTGTCGGAAATTCAACAGGCGATGATCTTACTTAGACAATAATTTTATGATAAATTCTGCTGGTAACGGTAGTGAAATGACCGCAAAAAATATTCAGTTTAAATTTGAGTGCTGCAGACAGTCTTAAAGTATCGGAAAATTTCGATTGATCGAAAAATTCTCTTTGACAGTAATATTGAGATAAATTCTGTTGGCAGTGGTCAAAAAATGATTGAACCTTGCATTGATACCGGTTACGTAGATTTAGTGCTGTCTTGAGTGCCTTAGCTAGTCGGAAATGACCAATGTATTCAATCAACAGAAATCATCTGTCGATATTTCATCGCAAAATAATAATAATAAGGTTATTTAAATTTAGATAAAAAGATTTATCTAAGTAATAAAAATATGTTAACAAAAATAATCTTAAAGAAAACTTTCACCAATTAAATTTTTGTAAATTATTGAATAATTTACTCTCTAATTAAAATGTTATTCATTTTAGTTCCATTTTTAACATATCTTCGACTTGAGCATTATATGATACTAGAAAAAAAAGAAATTAAAACAATAAAAATCACTGTGAAAGCTAAAAGTTCCCACAGCTTCGGAACAAAAAGAGGCATCACTAAGTGTGATAACCATTCCATAATCGTTCGCAACCCAGGACAATTTTGAAGCCATTGTCTCTTATTAAGAGTTCAGGAACTCTATAGAGCAATGGTGTGCAAGTTGTATAAATATTTGATGTACAACTTGGGCATATATCTATTATAAATATAGTTCATTACTTACTGTATACAGGGTAACAAAAAATTATAGGGATCACTTTTGAGGTTATCTACCACTAAAGTTTCAAAACTTTTTTACATATATAGCATACTGATCTAAAGCTCTGCTATTAGACTTTCAGTTGCAATACTATTTCATAAAATCACAAAAATGCCTTTGAAGAAGTTTGACAAAAAGCTAATTGGTCAAGTACAAGCATTTTTAGAAATTCGATGGAGCCACAGGATTATACAAACCCATTTTAAAAAGAAAGGTATTGCGATTTCACTCAGCCATATCAGTCGCATCAAGAATTCAAAACTAGGATTGATGCAAAATAATGCAAAACTGAAAAGAAGTGGACGGCCAAGCAAATTGAAGAAATCAGATTTGCAGAAGCTTGATAAGATGACATCGAAACCGGATCCACCAACACAGGCAAGCATTGCTAAAGCTCTTAACGTGAGTCAGCGAGTTGCAAGCTATCAACTAAAACAAAAGTTGAAGAAAAAATGCCATAAAAAACCTAAATGTCATCATTTAAGTGAGAGATCGGTGCAGATTAGGAGGCAACGTTCATGGCCCTCTACAAGCTTCTCCGTAAGAACAGATGGCGAAAGTTCATTACAATTGATGAAGCTTGGATCTATCTATCTGATACCAATGCTAAATCTAAAGTTCAATATCTCAGTCGTGGGCAGAACAGGCGAGACTTGACACCATCAACCACGGCGCCTCATTCCAAAGGCGTAATGTTTTGGATGGGCATATCCGCTCATGGTGTGACCAAACCACGGTTTGTAAAACCTGGGGCCAAAATAAATTCTGAGTATTACATGCAGAAAATATTAAAGCCCTTTCTTAAGGATGATTACTGCAGATTGTACCCTAATGGTGATTCTGTGTTCCATCAGGACTCTGCCCAATCGCATGCATCTAAGGTCACCCAGAAATTCCTAACAGATAAGCAAGTGCAATTCCTGAGATCAGAACAATGGATTCCAAACAGTCCTGATGCTGCACCATGCGACTATTTCCTATGGGGACATCTGAAAAACAAACTGAATAAGCGAAAAATTTCTACATTGAGAGGCCTTCAAAGAGCTATTAGAGAAGAGGTGAAGAAAATCCATTAGGAAATCATTTTGCGGGCTTTAAAATCATGGCCGAAGCATTGCAGACGGAGGTACACATATTGAGAAGCATTACTATTATGCCGGAGGTACACATATTGAGAAGCATCGCTGAATTTATGTAATAAAGTTTGGAAATAAAAGCATTCATAAATGATCCCTGTATTTTTTTGTTACCCTGTAATTATATTGTACAATTATAGCATATTTTTGCCAGAACTATGCAGTTTACCTGTCCTTAACATAGAAGTCAATATAACGCGAAGTTAACCTTTAAATAAAATAATTACTTTTTTTATCACCAGAAAAAAAATCGATAGTTTAATAATTCTTTTCCATAATTTTATTTATTTATTTCAAAGGTTCAGGGGGCAATGGAAATGGAGGGGCGGGTGGCAGTGGAGGTGGATCAGGAGGCAATGGAGGTGCAGGTGGTGGAGCAGCAGCATTTGGTGGAGGAGCAGCAGGTGGTGGACGAGGAGCAGGTGGTGGAGGAGCAGCAGCAGCAGCAGCTGGTGGTGGAGGAGCAGCAGCAGCAGCAGGTGGTGGAGGAGCAGCAGCAGCAGGTGGTGGAGGAGGACAGGGAGGTGGCATGAGTAAGATGATACGAACATCAATAAAATAAATAAAAACACATCAATGATAATTAAAAATTGCACTTATTAGAGTTGTAAAAAATTGTACTGATTAAAAATTATACTTATTATTTCAAACTCTTCTCTGATTCTAAATCGAATACATTCAAATTACTCACGGAATCGCGATCGAATTTATTTGAAGATGAATTGGTTCACCCAACTAAACTGATACTATTGATTCGAATCACTTTGTTGATTTGTTTTGCCCAATTTCAGCTCTTATCCTTTCTAAGGTGCTAGGATATTATTTTTTTCGACCTGAGAACATTGAAAAACCCTATTTCACATTTTATAACTCTTTAAGAAAGTCAAAATTATTTATTTAAAATTGAAAATTCATTGAAATTTTAAGTTTTTACTGTGTCCAATCAATTATTGAAAGCATGTCTTTTTTACTTTTTTGTAAACGGTCATATGGAAAAACATTTTATGACAAGTGTACTGCCAATTTAGAACAAAAAAATAAGACGGGTTCAGTGCTTGTCCGTGGTGACTGGGGGGGGGGAATCAGCGCTCGCCTCCCAGTAAGGTGACCCGAGTTCGAATCCCAGTGACGGCTGGTCGATACAAATATAGCACCGACCAAAGGACTGTCGTGAAATATCCTCGGTGGTAGACGGATCATGGGTTCGATACCCCTTGCCTTTTGGCAAACCGTTGGAGGTTTTCCTCTTTATGTAACGCAAATGCGGGTTAATTCCATCTAAAAGTCCTTGACGAAGACAAATTTCTGACATTACTTGATCCAGGAATGATTTGAACAAAAGTTATTCCCAGAAGTTCTCCTGTCTTCTGATTTGGGTTCAAAATTACAGAGCTACGGAGTTGAACACTGGCGGTCGTAAACCCAAAACGGGGTCGACTGCTCAACGACGGTTATAAAAAAAATATGCATTGCATGAGCCGAGGTGATTCAGAGGATAGGGAGTTTGCCTTCCAATGAGGAGAACCAAGTTCGAATCCCAGCAATGATTGGTCAATACGTATCGCTCGCAACGACCACTGTGCTGATGAAAAATATCCTCAATGGTAGACGGGCAGAGTCCCCTTGCAGTTAGGCTAACCGTGGGAGGTTTCTCACTCCATGTAACTCAAATGTAGCTTCGTTCCCTCAAAAAGTCTTCCATGAAGGTAAATATCTCTTAATACTTGTGATCCAGGAGTTCCCTTGTCTTCTGGATTGGGTTCAAAATTACAAAGCTACGAAGTTGAACATTGGTAGTCGTAAACCCAAAATTAGGTCGGCTATTCAATGACTGTAATAAAATATATATAGCAGATTTGTATTTTACAAAAAAGTAACCTAATTTGACTTTGTGTTCGCATTTTGGTATAGAGATGGCACTGTAATCAGAAATTGAAATGTGTTACAAATTGTTTCGACCAATATCCACAAATTTTTATCCGTTATGTATTTTTAAAATCATTTTATAGTTTCAGTATTTTTCGGACACTCTGTATGTTTGAATTATAAATCAAATACATAAAAAGGAAAAAAAATTTCTTTTTTTTTTAGGACGTAGTGCAAATGGTAAGATAAAGTTTTAACTTTAAGATCTCTTGTTTATAATGTAAAAAAATTTGTAACTTTTTTATTAATTTTGTGTTTTTTTTTGTGACTTACAGGTTACTACAATAGGAACAATAGTAAGATTTTTTCTGATTTACTTTAATATTACCATCTAATTAAACATAATTCAAGCAGCAATAATAATTAAAATCTATGCATACAAAAAGGCTGACGTAAGACTGGGAAATAGTTAGAATTTGTTTCTTACCGGTGGCAATGGTTGTAAATTAATTGCATTAAAAAACAAACATTTAAACAATAAGTTAAAACAAATATACGATTCACTACAAAATGAAGAAAATTGTGATCGCCGCAAGCATTGGCAAAATGGTTGTTGTCTAATTTTTTTTTAAATTTTTTTTTTGTTAAAGAAAATTAATTGTGTTTTCATCTTGGACATCTTCAAATGTTAATCCTGAACTGCTCGGTACACAATTTTGCAGACATGCAACTCAGACACATTCTGGGTAAATTCCTTTCATGACTGAATAGACATTGAACAGCCACTCGAGATCAATATTAACATTTTCGGATGGGTACAATGGTGTTTGACGGAGATCGTAAGCTGCATCATACATACTGTTTCGGATTCACACGTTCATACATGAAATATGATTTGAAAGCTAGGTTTTTTTCTCTCCAATTTTACGTGAATAGGGAATGAATCATTTATAGCACGTGGAAGACAGTCTACGGTCTCGTACAAGTCATTGAGTACGTTGACAATGAATCCTTTTATCCCTAACTCGTGATCAACACCCAGTTCTCGTATTTGCATGAAAGGGGTTCGGAGAGCCACCATTCACAATTTTCTCAACCACTTCATTATTTTTGTGATGGACGGGATTCATGCCTGCGTTTGCGAACGGAATCCTTTCGTTTTTTCCGTTTGTGTATAACGCTTAAGGTATTCCCGTTTACGCTCTTTGGCCCAACATTACATATTTTCCAATTTGTTTAAAGTGTAACGCAACTTTAAAAAAAAACTTTTAGTAATGCTTTACTTTTAGTAAAACTTTCAGGAACAATAAATTGAAACATTTATTTTGAAACTTATGTAGGGTAAACTAACCAGTGAAAGAACACTTAAGTTTCGCTTGCCATTTAAAAAATCATATTAATTTCAAAATGCGTAATTTTAGTTAAATGACAGTGTCAACATATTTGTTACTAATTGCAAATTATGTAAAAAAATTGTAGAGAACTTACATAATATTGTTTTAAAGTTTTGGAGGTTCAAATAGCAAGTAGTAAGAAGACCAAGTAGAGGAACAGCTCTTACCAGTGAATGAACACCCAGTAAAGGAACACTTAATTTTGGTTATTTCTTAATGCTCTATATGAATTTATAAGCCATACAATTATTTAAAGACAAGCCTATTCTTGAAATTATAACATATATATACTCGGAAAATGCTTACTTTTTTTGTAATCATGAATTGAAAATTAAAGTGTCAACATATTAGCACACACTGTTCATTCACTGGGAAATCTATGGCCAGTAAAGGAACATGCCTGTTCCCTCACTGGTTAGAAGTTGTTTTTCGTATTTTTAACATACTTTTGATGCGGAACATCACTAAAGGTACAAGAAAATTAAAGTTTACCTTTTATTTTCATTAACTTTGAAAAAAAACAGTAAAGGAACACTTGTTCCTTCACTGGTTTTTCATCGTTTGGTGATCCAGTGAATAAACACCCCCTTATCTCAGTACTTGATTATGCTATGGTGCTTTAAAAAAAATAAAACGTAACTTCAATAACTATATTTTGAATTCTCTTTTTCACAGTGAGAAAAATAAAACTATTACATGCAATTAATTCCACTTCAAACATATAAATACAAACACTCACCTTATAATTTTTTCAAAGAAACAAGGTGTTGCAGAGATAATAACAAATTCAAAAATTTTTCCAGAGAAGTCTATTTGACCAGGTAATCCAAAACATTGCTAGATGACTTCCTATTGTTTGGCAGTAAGCTATTGTTACCAATCAATCTAAAGAAAAACTTTCAAATTCTTATTTTTAATCAATATATATGAAATGTTCCTTCACTGGGTAGTGTTCCTTCACTGGTTGGTTTACCCTATATATATATATATATAGGGTAAACTAACCAGTGAAGGAACACTTAAGCTTCGCTTGCCTTTTAAAAAATCATATTAATTTCAAAATTCGTAATTTTAGTTAAATGACAGTGTCAACATATTTGTTACTAATTGCAAATTATGTAAAAAAATTGTAGAGAACTTACATAATATTGTTTTAAAGTTTTGGAGGTTCAAATAACAAGTAGTAAGAAGACCAAGTGAAGGAACAGCTCTTACCAGTGAATGAACACCCAGTAAAGGAACACTTAATTTTGGTTATTTTTTAATGCTCTTTATGAATTTATAAGCCATACAAATATTTAAAGACAAGCCTATTCTTGAAATTATAACATATAAATATTTGGATAATGTTAACTTTTTTTTTGTAATCATAAATTGAAAATTAAAGTGTCAATATATTAACACATACTGTTCATTCACTGGGAAATAAAATAAGTAAAGGAACATGTCTGTTCCCTCACTGGTTATAAGTTATGTTTCGTATTTTTAACATACTTTTGATGCGGAACATCACTAAAGGTACAAGAAAATCAAAGTTTATCTCTTATTTTAATTAATTTAGAAAAAAACCCAGTAAAGGAACACTTGTTCCTTCACGGGTTTTTCATCGTTTGGTGATACAGTGAATAAACATCCCCTTATCTCAGTACTTTATTGTGCTATGATGCTTAAAAAAATAAAACGTAACTTCAATAACTATATTTTGAATTCTCTTTTTGACAGTGAGAAAAATAAAACTATTACATACAATTAATTCCACTTCAAACATATAAATACAAACACTCACCTTGAAATTTTTTCAAAGAAACAAGCTGTTGCAGAGATAATAACAAAATCAAAATTTTTTCCAGAGAAGTCTATTTGACCAGGTAATCCAAAACATTGCTAGATGACTTCCTATTGTTTGGCAGTAAGCTATTGTTACCAATCAATCTAAAGAAGAACTTTCAAATTCCTATTTTTAATCAATATGTATGAAATGTTCCTTCCCTGGTTGGTTTACCTTATTATTTGATGTCTGAAAAATAAACAAATGTTATTTAATATAATTGCTTTCAAAGATTCAAAATGTGAAATAGTCTGCAAATTTAACCGGTCGCGTTATTAAGGAAAAATGTATGAGCGATTTTCTAAAAGAATAGTTTCAGTTGCCCTGACGACAAATATGACCTTAGGTACTACACAAAAAGTTTAATTTGTATTAAATTGTTTTTTCCGACACACATGATGCCTCTTCAATGTCAGTATAAAATTGCTATTCACTAATAATAAAATTTCCGTTCAAAATAAATAAATAGATCAAATTGTGAACACGAATTTTTAATTGTTTCAGTTAAAAATATCTATTGTCTATTATTTTCAGAAGTTAGAAAAAGTAGAGACGGTAAGAGAGGAAAACAAGGAAATGCTAAAGGTAATGAAAAAAAATAAAGGTAATGATAAAAGAAATGATAAAGGTAAATGATAAAGGAAAGGAAATGATAAGGGCAATGAAAAAAAATTATTTTATTTTTATAGGAATTTGTTATAGAGATGTCCAAAAGCAAGAGGCTAAACTATATCATTTGACTTTAATCATTTCATCAATTGTCTTATTATTATCGTAATGGCAACCAGTCGTTTACGTTTATTTACGTTGAAGCTAAACATATTCCAGTTGATTGCTACTAATAACTAATTGATCATTCATAAATTTTGAGTAGGCAGATAAGTGATGTGACGTCAGTTTAGACATCTCTATACCAATTATTAGAACTATTTCAGAGTGCGTAGTCAGATTTTTTAACAAAAAATAAGTACCTTTTAAGTACTCTTTAAGCACTCAAAAAATAGTTTTAACCACTTCCCTAACAAAAATAATAATTAGGATCTGTGCAGTAATAAAAATTATTTTTTCTACCGTTTAAAGTGCTTAATTTCTAAACATAAAATTAATAGATTCAAAAACATTTTCAAAGACTTCACTAAATTACTAGTTTTTGATAAATATTCCAGAGAAAATTATGAACATCATGAATTTTTTTTGTAATTTAGAACAACAATCGACACGCCTTAAGAAAAAATCTAATTTTAAAAGATAAAAGCACTTTTTACAAACCCCAAATAAAAAAAGCACCTTTAAGGACTTTTAAAAAACGTAAATCAAAAATAAACACCTTTAAGTACTTTTTAAAAACTCTAAGCATCCTGTATTTATCACTAGATTTATTTCGAATTTACATTTAAAAAAGTACACAGTTTAACACCAGAGTATAAACTTTAATTTCTTGTAATTGTGTAAACAAGCTGTATTGTAAGCCATGTCAATAAATCTTCTAGTAAAACATTGTAATGAAAATTTGATTTTTTTATACTCAAGTTAATATGAAAAAACTTGAAATAATAAATGCATTCGTATATTCAAAAGTACAGTTTTCAGATTTAACATTTAAACAGCCCAATTTAAAAATATTTTGACTCTTTAGAAATTAAAAAGAATAAATAAATATATGTTAAGGAAAAAATTTTTAGGTAAAGGTAATAATATAAATGTTAAAGAAAATCTACTTTATGCAAAGGTAATAATATAAATGTTAAGGAAAATATATTTTATGTAAAGGTAATAATATAAATGGCACGGAAAATATATTTTATGTAAAGGTAATAATATAAATGGTACGGAAAATATATTTTATGTAAAGGTAATAATATAAATGTTAAGGAAAATATATTTCATGTAAAGGTAATAATATAAATGTTGAGGAAATATATTTTAATTGGCAGTCAAAATATTCTTAAAAAAACAGACAAAAAAATATAAACTTTTAATCGTTTTTTTTTAAAAATCTTATTTTAGTAAACAACTAAGTCCCAGCCATTTTTTATTTTCAATATTCAACATGTCATTTAATGTTTTTAATCATTATAAAAGATGGACCGGAATCTACCGATGTAAATTTCTATCCGAATATAAGTTTTGCTTCATTGTTCGATTTAATATATGTAAATGGTCAGGCCATTTAAATGGAGAAAAACGAGTATTTTCGATACCTTCTTCCCTTTTGCATTCAATCTAGGTTCTATGGCCTCGATACATCAGTGCTGCGTATGGAGTAGAGTCGGGCCAGCCCGAATCCGCACCCGACACGATCTCGTTTACTGAAAAAGGTTTCAGGCAAACTCAGATTCATGACACAATGTTTATCAAAATTTTTGTAACTTTTAAACAAACGGTTAGCTCCGTTATTAAGTATAAAAATTGTATAAGGTATCAAAATTTCAGTGGTCTGCATCTTTTGTTAGGTGCTTTTGCTTTGTGAGAATGGCTCTAATTGTCTAATGACTTTTATTTAACTTAATATTTTTTTTCTTCAATTTTTGTTTTAGTCATCTTAGAGTTTCAGTTGGTTCAGTTTTTCTCTTCGCTTTTTCTTTCATAGGTTGGTGGTAGAATTTTTTTTTTTTAAATTGTCTAATTTTCTTGCTTAGACATGAAAGACCGAGTGACGAGATCGCGAAATTCGACCTTTATCCAACGTATATCTCGGGCTCAGACCTCCTAAAGTGAGCCCGAGCTCATCATCAGTCTGGACCCCTCCAGGTGTTATAGCTGAAAGAACCACTCCTGGCTAATGAGTCAAGTTAAAAAAATTTTTGACCTTGTTTGAGTTATCCAGTTAAGTTCGATGTAAAGTTATCAAACAAACTTTTGCCCGAAAAATCGAGTCAAACGACAAGAAAACTGGCAAAGTAAATAAAATGCTCCCAGGCTTTAAACTTTTCATAAAAACAGTAAGAACTTAGTTGTCAAATCAATATAGGTGCTAGTTAAGAGCCCAAAGGTGAAGGAAAAGAATTATTGCTATTCAGGAAAAATATGTTTTCAGGTCTTCTATCTCAATTTTATGAATGGCAAACAGTTTCTGCACCAATCGGTTAACACACGTTATGCAACCCTTTCAACAATCAAGAATGCATTTTAATGTGCGAAAGATCCATTCATTAAATCAAAAGATACCCATGGTTGATTCTTTCCCCTATCATTTAATAATCATTTATCCAAACTATTAACCAAAAAAATATTATTTAGATAAGCATCGATTAATTGAGTTTAAAAAAATTATTCCAAAATAAAATTATTATGAGAGAGACAATATTAAAACATACTTAATTCTCATTTAATTTAATGTCTATTAGCCCACTACTAAACTGACATGAGCATAAAAAAAAGCAGTCTTCCTAATTTTTCGATTTATTAGGCTTCTAATACTTTTTTGTTATAACTAGGTACTTTGTATAAACATTAAGTGTTTTAAACATTAGATATAGTAGGAATCTAATCTAGCAATAATTGGAGACACGTTGCTTTCGTAGCCACAACGCAGTATGAAAATCAAAAAGATAAACTTTTAGTAGAAGATAATATGACTCAAAGTACTTTAAATACTTTTTATTTCTTTAGATGGTTACTACTTTATAGAATACATATATGAGCCAGATGGAGAAACCAAAAGTAAGACAAATTCTGTAAATAAACAAAAAAATAAAATTATATATATATATATATATATATAACCATAAAAACAAAGAGAAAAACGAAGGAAATTAATAAGTTTTAGTAACTGCGCATAAGCTGCAAGTATATAGAACTCATAAAATAAGCTAAAATATTGAGAAAAAAATGGAGAATAATAAAATATAATTACAAGAGAGATGAACAATGATATATAGTTTCTCAGAGCTCAAACAGGATATGATACAGACCTGGTCAGTAAATTAGAAGCATTATATAAATTTAATGCGCTTATCTCCGTCAAAAGCTAGCTCTCTTTATTCATTACGGCTGATTTTTTTCATAATGATCTTAAATAATGGCATGACTTGAAGAAATGTCGCAAGCATGATCTTTTAGTTTTAAATGCAGCTATGAAAGCCATGGAACGGTACCTTAACCGAAGAAAGCACCGTATTCTCGCTATTTTCAAACATATTTTGTTCCCGTAAGGCAGGTGATTACTCAAACAAAGCTCTGATTTTTGCCACCTTAATACTAAAAAAGAAAGAGGCGATCCAATTTTTCCTATTCTTAATCAACGTATAAACTATTATAACTCATTGGGCTTGAAACTTAATACTCGTTTCTCAGCATAGTAATTCACGNTATATATATATATATATAATTTTGTAAGCTTACTGGAAAATTCTGCTCTTTGCAAATATGGCTTTCATTATTTTGAAAAGCACCAAAAAGATTAAAGTATTTTTTTAGTCAGTCTCCTGGCACTTTTTAGGCTTATTTGAGATCGCCAAATAAGCCTACCATTAGGCTTAGGCTAATTCGAAAATAAGCCATTCACAACTTAATTAGTTTGATTTATTTCAAGCAATTTGAACTAAGCCCAGAGCAGTTAAGGCTCATTCATTTACTGCAATAAGTTTAAGGAAATTCAGTGGAAGGAATTTTTCGCATATTTTTCTAATCAGCTTAAGACGGATAGGCCGCTTGTAATAAGTCAAAAAATATCAGGCTGATAGAATGTACTGAGAACTCTTAAAATTTGATAGGCGATGTTTTCAAAAAGCCAGATTTTTCAAGTAGCCATCAACGATAAATAATTGCCTTGATTCTAACCATTCTCCATTTTTTTTCTTCCTACGAATAACAGCAGTTACAATTCCTGCTGATGCTCTGTGTAAGTATTTTATCTTGTTCTGTTAGTTTACTGGGTAAGTTTATTTTATATTTCTGCTCTCACTGTTTCCATTCTAGCGGCAAACCTAACTTTTAAGAATTGCTTAGATGTAATGTTCTGCCCAGGGCCCGACTTAGCCTTATTGGGGCCCTGAGGCAAAAACTTCCTTGGGGACCCCCTTTTGCTACACTACTTCAGTAATGAAAAACCGAACTTCATGGAGGGATTCAAATTTTTTACCTCATTATACACATATAGCAAGAAAATTGACTAAAATCTTAAAATCTCTCAATATCCCCCCCTCCTCCAATGGTCAGACGAAATATCGTTCTGTCCATTTTATTTATTTTCTGACAATTCTATGTCCATCTTGCCGCATGTAGTTTTCTGAAGGTTAACTTTGTCATCTAGCTGCGAAAAATTCATATCCTATTAGGACGGAAATAAGCTAACATTTTGCAATTACGGTGGCTCAATTAAGCCAATCAGAAGCTTGTATTTTTGTAAACATAACGCATTTTGAGATAAAGTAAAAAGACAGGCATTTCATTGGCCAAATTTGTCCATCGTCATTGCGAAAATTTAGCTGAATTCCTTCCTGGAAAGCCATGGATTTACGAAATATAGATTGTGTTTATATGATAGATTAATGAAGTAGCTAACGAAAAACTGACGGATATATTCTGACTGTACTCTCTGTACTGATATTTTGTTTAAAAAAAAGTTCATTGAAATAGGAAATGTAAAATAAATTTTCTATTCAATTTGGGATCGCGGGGCAACTGCCTTAGTAAGGTTCTGATTCTGCCACGTCCATACATTAATAAAGTATATAATCTTACTTATAGAGGAGGCAGCAAACAAAAGCAGATTTCATTGATAAACATTGTAATATTCATTAAAAATTATACTTTCTTGGGGGAAAATTTTTTTTTTCGCTTCTTTTAAAACTTAATTATTTCTTCGCTCATTTTAAATTTAGTACTTTTCAGAACTAAGAAAAACTGTATTTTTATTCTTTTTACAATCGATATGCAGCGGATAGTAATTACGCTCTCGTTTCATGCTATTCCTGTCTCCAGCTATTTTATGAAATCTATTTATTAGTTTTATGGAATTTATTAAAGTTATAGAATTTTAAAATCAATTTATCATATTATTTAAGAGTCGGTTTGTTTCAAACTTAGAAAATTTAAAAATTAGCATACTATTAATTGAGAATTCAATATGTGTTTTTTTAAGTAACGATGCTTAGCATGCGATTTGTTAATTTAGTGGGGAATTTAGTTATGAATTTCGATTATGTTATTTTAATAGTTTTGCATATAATTAAGTTTTACAATACTCTTTAAAATAAAATTTTAAAAAACTAATTATTTGATTTTTTTTTAAATTCATTAAAAAAAAGCACATGAAAGTGCAAGAATGCAGCTCAATAAAGGCAAAATGATTGGTGCTTTCATACTCTATTAACAGATGCCGAAATAGATTGTGGTGAAATGAATTGTGAAAACGCTGAATAGAACATTGAAATGCACACTTTTGCATAAATACTAAATACAATTTACTAAATACGTGGCACAAATCGACATGGTAAAGAAAAAAAAATCTTATTTTCGAAAAGGAAAAATTAAGCACTTTTTAACACTAGATTACCTAAAGGAAGTCACTTTGACTGCTTTTTCATTTGCAAAAAATGTACAAATAATAATGCATAAATTAATATTTTCATTCCAATAAGTGAAGTAAATTTTTTTTATTGCTAATATTTACTAATATAACTGTAAATAATATAAAAAATATTAAAAATTAATTAAGCAAATTTCTTTACACATTAATTATTCTTTCACAATGCAGTCATTTTGACTACTTTTGGGCAAAATAGGTATATACTAAGTTTCAGTCTTTCCAGTGTTAAAAACACGCAATACAAAAAGCACATTTAAGGGCTTTTAAAAAAAGAAAATCAAAAATAAGCACTTTTTAAAAACGCTACACACTATGTGTTAAATATATTATTTTTGCTACAGTCAAAAGTGTGCATGTGAAAGACTAATTTACTAATATTTTTCCCATTTTAATTTTGGAATTATTTTCCGTCACCAATGTGAATAAATTTGTATTGTATATATTCAGTATGTTTATAATTATTATTGTAATTTTCAAATTATATTATGGTTTTAAAAAAACTGTTAAAGAAAAATTTTTAAATTCACTAAAAATTATTTTAAAGTATTTTATTTCTTATTTATTTAATACTAGAATACGTTAATAAGAATATTGTTAAATTCAAAGCTCCGTCATATTAAAATAAATTTTAAAAAGACATTTATTTTTTATTTTTCAAACTATTAGTACGAAAACATGCCTTTACAATTTCATATGTTTATATTTATGCAGTCAATTTTAATTCATTCCAATTTTTTTTATCATTCTACGAATTTTATATTTTCTTTAATTGAAAAAGTATATTGCCTCGAATATCTTACGATCATTTATACTAAAATTTGTATTGAATCAAAGAATAAAAAACAAATATAAACTTTAGAATAATTAATTTATTTATATTTTTATTATATTATTTCTTAATTTATTTAAATAATTAATGCCACGAATTGCATATTGTTAAATTAAGATATTAATTTAAATAGTTCTAAATTACCGTTTCTTTATATACTAACAATCGAACTAACTTTTACACTCATTCATTTCTTAAAAAAAAAACATCTTATACGTATAATTCTCTTACGTGGCTCCCAAATTTTAGCTGTATTTCTTTTCCGCCGGTGACAACGTTTGCTTTGTTTTGTTTACGTTACTATTTCGCTTACACGGCGAATCGACCAATGATTGCTGCTAAAAATTTCACATGCCAAATCTAGCTGAGGTGGCTCAACATACAGCGCTTTTAAAAACGGAAACTTAAATAACCAGAGAGCATCAGCTGCGGCAATCTCCTACTATTAAGCTAGGCAGAAGTGAGTAGTCTTTGTCGATAGATCTCTATTTTAGTATTTTGTCGAAAGCGCTTTTTTTCTCGAATTTATATATTACGAATTTATTTGACGATTTTTGATTTATATCACGAATTATACAATAGCACATTTCTAATAGGTTTAACGAATTACATGTCATTTATTTGAATTCAAATTTATTTTAATGACTTAGTATTTATTAAAAAGATGTAATTTAAAAAAAAAAAAAAAAAAGAGTTTTTCTATGGATTTGAATGATTGTTTTGAATTCTTAGAATTTTGTGCATTTGAAATGTACCTAAGTTAGTAGCGAGTGAAGCGAGCTTGGTTTGAGAAGCAAACCATATAAGATTGCGTAGTAATTTTCGGGGCTTGGCGAGCGTTAGCGAGCACGGGGCGCAGCCCACTAGTATAAAAAATATCTTGACTTTAAAGTGGATAAATAACTGAATATTTTGTTATTTAACTTTTTGAAAAATCACGAATTATTTACGCAATTAACGTTAACAAAAACAGAAAAATTTTGTTATGTTGAGAATCGACAATGAGTAATTTCTATTTTTTTTTAAATTTTTAGGAGACCCTATAAAACAGCAATTTTCTGGGGTTGGCGAGCGTTAGCGAGCAGGGGGAGCAGCCCACTAGTTTTAAAAATAAATTTTTAAAAAAAAGCAGTTAGCTGTTGAACGTTTATTTTCTTTTTAAGTGGAGTTGTAATAAATATTCGTTATTGTATCTTGTTTTAATCAGGTTCACATATTTATGAAGTGAAAGTGAATATTTTTATTTACATTCTTTAACAAAATATTAATCAATAGTTAAAAAAACTTCTGTGTCGTTTAATTATTTTTAATGTGGGGCTTAACACGTTATTTAACCTCTTGTTTGAAATAAACAAAAAAGAGGGAAAAGCATCAGAAAGAACTGGTTTTTTAAAGTTTTGTTGGAGTTTTTTTTTTTCAATCCTGCAAGATGACACGAGATAACTTTTTCAATTCTCACTCAATTTACTTAAAAATTTAACAGCACTTATATGATTAATGAAGTTTCCGCTGCACATAAGATTTTTAACGCGCTTTTAACATTTGGTTAATTAAATATGCAAAAATAAGAATTATTCGTCGATTTTTATTTTTTTCTCTAAGTGGAAAAATATCTACAATCTATTTGTCAGTCCAAAGATTACATTTCAACGAAAGTGTATGTTTAGCTTAAAATTAAAGCTTTGTTTCGAGTATAAGGCAATCGTCTGTGACTTTTTTTTAATTGCAATTGGCAAAATCGATTATATCATCAATACAATAAACGCTGTTTCTTGTTCATAGGAGTCTTAATACGGTGTTTAAAATTGTGCATCATACAGCAGCTTAAGCTCTGAAATTTCCTGAAATGTCACTTGGCAACTTCTTCCGTTAAATTTTTAAATAATAAATGTATAAAACTTTAATTGTGTTCATACATGCCAAAATTCATCATTTCGAGTTCATATCAAAATTTAACATTTAAAAAAAAAAATGTTTTTGTTACAGCGGCAGGCATTAGAGCAAAATACGAAGCAGCTGAAGGCAATAACGGTGTTGGTAAGTGTAACTAATAACTTATAGATCAATTCATTTCGGGGGAAGGAAAGTAAGAGCCACGCATAAAACAATCAAAAAAGATTTCTGGTTATCAATTTATTTATAGGCAAGAAGTGCAAAATGACAGTCTTCCTGTAAATTAATCACCAATATTTTTGTTCCAGCAATTCATTTCGTAACAAGAAATAAAAAAAGCAATGAACACCGTACGAAATAATTACGAATATTATATTTCGTCAACTCATTTAAGGACTCTAAATTAAAAAGTAATAAACAATCTATGGAATTTCAATGATTTTTATCACATCAATTCAATTAAGAATAAGAAATACAAAAACAATAAACTCAAGACAATGAAGATCTTTTCGACCAAAAATACATATAGGGATAAAAAACGTGAAATTAATAAATCTAGTATGAATTAACCGCACAGATCATGTGAAAATTATCATTTTATAGTTACAAATAGTTTAAATAGTGTCGAACACATGTACGTATTTTTTAAAAAAATCCAACTTTTTTTAAAAAAATCCAACTTTTTTTAAAACTGAATCCGTTTCAAAGTTAAATGAATCTTAACAACAGCTTCATTCAAATTGATTGTTCCGTAATTTTTTAAAAAAAGCAACCATTGAATCCTCAATAGATTTGATCTCATCATAAAAATAATGACTTCAAATCTATTGAGTTCGATGATTCATTGGAATTTATTATTGCGGATTGCCTTCATTATCAATGTTTAGAATTCTCGTAACCTACATTTAATAAATTTCATATTAATTAAAAAGAAAGAAAAATGTTCATGAAATATTAGAATTCAATGTTAAAATCACTTATTGACGGTCAGATTAAAATAAATTCGCTTATTGGAATAAATCGAAAGGCCGTTTTATTATTTTAAATTTTTCAGAATAATATAGATGATAGGAATGACGATTAATGCGAATAGGTAGATACAAAAACAATTTTAATTGAATCAACCTAAGATTGTTAATCAGAAAAACGTAACTATAGATACTTATTTTCTGTAATAAGTACGTTAAAATTAGATTTAAAAGTCTACATAGCTTACATACAATTGCACTAATATTTTTTTTCTCCTAAAATCCGTTCTCATACATTTTATTTTATTAAAAACACTTTGAATAAAGGAAAATCGTTTGTTCAATAAATTGAACAAACGATTTAAAGATGGATTTTTTAAAATCGTTTTCTAGTTTTCACTTTTAAAAATTATGTTCTTAGATAAATAAAAGAATCTCTGAAAATACGATTTCGGATTATGATCACCGTTAAACGCTTTTGTCTTCAAAGAACAATTTTTTCATTTCAGTTGATGAGTATTACGTCATCTATCAAGATGATGGCAATGGAGGAGTTACATGTAAGATTAATTCGTTTTCTCAATTTAAATTCATAAACTCAACTTTTAATAATTGCCTCTTTTCTTATTCCTTTTTTTTTTAATTTAGCGATAATCGTACCCGCATCTGACTATAAGACTGATGGCAATAACGAAGGTAAATACTTACATGAAAATAACTTTAATTTTGGACTTTACTGCATGACTCAAAAATGAACAGAATAACTTGAGATATGAAATAACTGAAACGTTTGATAAATAATATTATTTCAACTATTGCTATTTATTAAATATAAATCAATTCCTATTAACCATTGTAAAACATCGGTAAGAATATACTTGAGGGTGCCCCCTTGGCGAAATTGGCAATTTCTGTTGGGCGTCATTCCTGTTCACACGGAACACCGTGCAAACAGGAATGGCGGCCAAAACATAATGAAATTTCAATAAAACATTGGGGGAAAAATTCAATAAAAAATCGGCAAGGGCCGGGATAGCCTGGTCGGTAGGGTGCAGGGCCCATGTCCAAGAGGTCGTGGGTTCGATCTTCGCCGGCCGAAGACGCCCCGTGTAGTAAATGGTGACTGATGCAAGTTAAATCTGTCGAGTCTTAAAGTCCTCCATGTTCCCATAACAAATCAATACCTCTGGGGTTACTGATCAAGAAGTTTCCCTGTATACTGGATTGGTTCAAAATTGCAAGGCTACGGAGTTCAATAATTGTCGCAAATCCAATATTGGGTCTGCTGTTCAACGACGGTTATAAAATAAAATAAAACATCGGGCAAAACTTAATTAAATTGCAATATAAGCAAAATTAATAAACCCACTAAAATGCATTTTGAATCGAGGCAAAAACTAATGGAGTGCGCACAGAAAAAAAAGAACTCACTTTATTTAGCTTGAATATCCTCACTTTTAGGTACACAGAATTTTCTAATAGCAGTTTAAATTTATCATGTACTTATCATTCATCTCGTGTAGCTCCATCGCCACATAAATTTGGCGAAATACGAATTGAAAATGGCGTCTGTGGTGCCGGACTGGCGGTGACTGCTTTCTTTCAATTGCTATTCAAATCGTACAGAACAAGGCCGTAGCCAGGATATTTTTTCGGGGGGGGGGGGGGTAAGAAGCAAGGACAGTTTCAGACATGCAAAGTAAGGGAAAAACATTGTAACAAATATTGTTTATTCTGTTGTTTGCAAAAGTTAAACTAGTAATTAAAAAATATTACATAATAATTATTTTTCAATTAATATTGCATAATAATTATAATCAATTTGTAAACAAAGTTTACAAAGACATGCGACGGGGAATTGAAGAAAATTTTTCGATTACTTTTTTAGGACAAATCGGAATATCCCGAAATATGCTTAATAAAGTTAGACCTGTTAGCCTTTCTTCTTTAGTAGCATTTCTAGTTGCTGTTTTTACGCTTTTAAGAGTAGAAAAAGTTCTTTCTGCAGTTGCTGTGGTGATCGGCAATGTAGCCAATATTAATAACAAGCAATAAATGTTTGGGGAAAAAGATACTGTCACATTCTTCCATTGCTGAAAGTGCCGTATCTGGTCTACGCAGGTTCCACTTTGATGCCCATACTTCCATTTCTCCCATGAGGTTTTTGATGTCAATGAAATCTGCGTAGATTCAGATATTGCATAAATTAATATGCTGAGAAACAATTCATTTCGGGGGAGGAGTCTAACCGAAGGAAAGTTGATGCACTGGGCAAAAGTTTGATTCGACAGTTTTTGTTTTTCTTTTTACTGAGAGGCTCAAAGAAAGACTAAAAAGTTTGAATCCCAGAATTTCGGGGTGGCTACGGGCCTGGTACAGAAACTTAAGATTTATCTTACTTACCGATGTCATTTTCAAGACCAGAAGCAAAATTAACGTTACCAGCCGACATCCAACGTAGAACTAACTGACCTCTGAAATAACATATTAGCTGATCGAAATAGGGTACAGGTGGCGTAGAGCAAAACTCTCTACCTATGGCAACATTTCACATGCTTTCACCATTAGCGTGTGGAGACTCATAGAAGAAGGAAGTACGTTAGTTTCTGTCTTGATTGTCATATGGATTAAAATCTTTGAAGTAGGGAAACTATACGCAACTGATAACTACATTAAACATAGTTCTAAAAGAAAGCATCGTGGAAATTTTGACAAAAATATTTTTATTAATTGAAAACGAAAAATATCGTAATACATCCCTATACAACTGAAAAGAGGAGAGGAAAGGGAGAAGGGTCTGGAACCGGTTTTCTCCCCAGATGGTGTATTCGAGCGTTGCGATCGGCTATACCGTTAAACATTGAAAAATAACGCTAAAATCTAAATCAATCAGAATCACGATTGGGTTCCCAGAAATAAAACATCGCAAAGCGATCACAACTTGGGGAGAATCAAGAGGCACCCTCAATCATAGTCTAACCCATTGTAAATCATCTTTCAACTAAAATATTATTATTTTCTTATTTTAGTGGGGTACTTTGCTTTCCGATAAGACAAGAACATAGCTTCACCAACTGCAAAAACGAAGGTAATTAATTTTTTAGAAGTCATTTTTAAGAGCGTCTGGTAAATAAAAAAACAAAATAAATAAAACTGCTGCACAAATTAATGTTTATTGCCGTGAGGGTTTTAACCATTGCCAAAAAATGTATTAGTCATTTAGTGTCGAAAACCAAAAACAAATTAAAACCTCTATCGGAATCTAAAACTAAATTTTAAATCAATCCATGAATGCATTAGTAGCACAACCATTCAAGAGCAGAAAAATATAATTCATAGCAAGCAAATATGGTATTTGGTGCAAATTGGAGGGGATGATTTTCATATTTGGAACAAAAACGTTCTTGTAATTGCGCATTTCATATTATGAAAATGTGTTATTAAATAGAAAGGACCTAAGAGGAACAGAGAATTATCTAAACAAATATATAACTGAAAAAATTTACTCAAACGGGTTTCCTGCCGTAATAAAATCTAAAGAAAAAAAAAAGTCTTAAATAGTATTTAAATATACATTTTAAATAATATATTTTAAAAAAAGAAAGAAAAAACTGCCAATTCTAGCAGATTTTCTTGTAAATACACATTGTTTTCCGCTAGAGTTTTCTCCAATTATAAATTGTTTTTTGGCGGTTTCTGTATGGTGTATTAAATTCCGATATTTCAAATACGATGCCATTACGACAAGCTAATTTCGAATTTTAGAATTTCATTCTTCGAAACACTCGCTTCGTGGCCATTGCATCGTAAATCCACGCCGATTGACGATCATTATTTTTTTCGGCTGTTACTTGCAGTTTTTCAGAAGGGACCATTTCCACGTGGTTTTTCAAATCGCGACATTTTTAATAAAATATTACCAAGACACGCAAATTTTGAATTACATTTTAACATCTTCAATTCGTGACGATCCCACCATGTGGTTTTTCTAGTTCCGATATTTTGAATTAATAATATGTAATTACCAGCACCGTGGGGCGAATTGGGTAGCAGACCGCTAAAATTTAGGGTCACCAAAAAATCAGGTCTGTTTATGAGTTATATTACAAGTTTTTCTTTTATCAATCATTTTACAATCGTGGATAAATTCTAATTATTCCTTCGATTGGTAATTCATATGAGTTTGTATAATTTATGTTTCCAAATGTTCCTTTATACCAGGAGTGTAATATTCAATATAAGAGTATGGAATTTTTTGTCAACTTTCAACTTTAATGCGATAGAAATTAATTAAATTAAAAATTTCAACCATTGCCCATTTATGAGCGTGTATGTGGAGGGCAATCCCTAAGAGCTGCAGTGGGGAATGTAAAATAAAAAAGCATTGTTGGCACAATTTTTTTTAAATCATAAATTTATCTAAAAAATACCACTTATACAGTACTGCATTATATAATGTATTATACATAAGGATGTAATAATACACCATTGATATAAAATTTTATTAATAGTAAATGTTTTATTCATATAATAGAATTAAGGAAAAAGTTAATAAATTAAAAAACAAAATAATTTTTTTAATTTATTTAAGTGCTCAGATGTAGATAAACTTTTAATTTCTATTATTCATTTCCATACAGTAATTTTAAATTTATTAAAAATATAGTTAGAGTATCGATTCGTTCTGCCAAGAATTATTTATTTTTAAAAATGTTTTTTTAATTGAAATTAATTCACTTTTCAATCGGCAAGTTGGCCTTTGCATTTCATTATTGTGTTTAGTTTGATAAAAAAAGTAATAACTGGCTTCATTAATTAGTTTGCAATAATAAAATAATATTAATCTTTTTATTATTAATATAAAGCATTAGTTATACATTTCGACTGAGTTTTTATTGTTAAACAAGAAAACAATCTTTAAAAAAATTCAGTTTTAAATTTAAAAAAATTGTTAAAATTGAAATATTTAGTATATACTTTATTGAACAAAACATGACTTGTGTTAATCATGATAAAACGACTCAATGTTTAGCTTAGAGCCAATAAAAGCAAAAGCCCGCTCCTGGTTATTACAACACAAGAATATAGGTTTAAGGTAATCATTTATTCGAAAATCACTTTCTGGTGTATTGATTTCAATGAGATTCAATTGTTTTTTATAATTCCGATATTTTACGCACAATGTTATTTCGATGCAACTTTCGAATTTTAGGTACTACTTTTTGACATGCTCTATATGCGACGTTTCTTAATAGTTTGTTTTCTCCAATTCCGATATTTTTAGTACGATGCGACAACAATTTTGAACCAAATTGGGCCAAAGTTGGATTTCTCGCTTAAAGAATACTACTAGAGTTTTGGAGCAGCTTTGCATTTTTGGGTTTTAAAAAAACATTTAGAGCTGACGTTTTAGAGCAATTTGCGCAGCTGTCCTGCAATCCTATCTATGGCAACTAGAAACAAACAACATCCTTTGTTAAATATAGATTCAATTCAAAGATAAATTCTTCAAAACAGGTTATTTATTGATTACTTTGACCTAAAATAAATGGCATTTTGTGAATGATCTCCACAATTTAGACATAAAATTCTGTACATTTAAGTTTAAAAATTGAACAAACCTGGACATCCAAGAAAACTAGTTCAATCGTATGAGTAACTGTTCTTAGTAGTAAGTTATAAAAAAAAGTTACCTTGCTCGTCGAGTTTGGGAGACGAAAAGTTATAGTTTGTCTAAGTAAGAACTCCCCTACTCATTTGTCGGAACCCGTGGCGGTAACTATGGTAACGAGGATTAACTATTTCAAGTAGGGGTATGGAGGGGGGGAGTTCTTACCGTAGAAAAATTATACATACTATTACATAAATAAAGGAAATTATTAGTACTAGCAATATTCAACCTATGCATATAATGAATAAAAAAGACTCGAACATTTCAGGAGAATTTCGCATTAGTTCATTGTTCACTCCTCCATTAGAAGATACAGGGTAACTGGATTTTACGTTCAAAGAAAATAGAAAACTTGCAATCACCATTTTCTCTAATGTATCAAGTAAATATTCCTTGTATTGTACTGTGAATGAGTGTCGTATCCATGCATTAAAATTTATTTGGTATCATTGCACACTCTTTACTTCTTACGTAACTTAATCTTTTACTAGCCAAAGAATACCTCATTACAAAACAAAACAATAAAATATTTGGTATAATGATAGTGGAAGCTGTAGGAATTTTATACAAAAAGTTCGAAAATAGTTATACAATATTTTCCAGGGTTGATCACAAACACTCAAAAAAGAACTTTTCCAGACTGATTTTTATCAAATTTCCATGATTTTTGTAACTGAAGTTTATAGTTAATTTTAACTTCTTTTGTACGTAAAACATATTATAAAACACTTTTACTCATTATTAAAGATGAGAATAGATATTTAAAAAGTATTACAAGAATAAACTAAACAAATATATAATATGAAAAAGATATACGTATATAGCAGATATGCTTATGACGGTATGAATCACTTTGGTAAACATTTATTGACTGTCAGCATAAACTTCTGTTTATGCTGTTTTCATAATATTAAAGATAAACATTTTAATTTTGTTAAGACAGTATTTTACTATATCTCTAATGATGCTGTCGCAGTTTTCCATTGTTGTCCGTGCATTTTTATTGGCCGGAAAATCACGTGGTATGATTCTCATATTGTTTTGGTTGTCATCAGAATATAAAATTGAAAAAAAGTCATAAAGGTATTCGATAAATATTTTCGTATCCCTAATTTAAAGTTATTTTCTTGTACTGCTTTTAATTCAAGAGTTTAAAACTAAGAGAATTGTTTGTTTGTTTTATTATTAAATGTAATTCTGCACTACATATTAAGATAAAGTTATTTAGAAAGGTGGTCTAATCTTATTAACCGTTTTACAATTATTATTTTTGTTCAAATAACATTAATATACTGTTACAAATTACAATTGAATAGAAGATATGATAAATGATTAAGAATTTAACGATCAGCATCTTTAAGTCTAATTACTTCTGTTTACTAATAGATCTATCAATTTTATAATAGATCAATCATTTTTATCAAATTCATTATCGAACCACTCGCCAATTCGAATAACCGAAGTGAACCAATTCTATTGATCCAATTTACTTTGATGATTTGTTTTTTTGCCTATGAGTTCTTGAAACCAATAAATTCACAAAATGTAAGGATGTTTAGCACTTAATACATACTTAGAACAATTAAGATTAATTTTAAAAGAAAAATACATACTGAGATTCTGTCAAATAAAGATACGGTCTAGGTCAGGGATGGGCAAACTTTTTTGGTCGAGGGCCAAAAATCAAGAAAAAAAATGTTTGGTGGGCCAAGAAAGATCTTCAAAATTTAAGAAAGAAAAAAAGCGATATACAAGTTTTAATTTAAATATTTAGTGGGATGAAGGAAATTGCGTTTTTATTTCTGAAAGTTCCTTATATTAAGGTTCGAAGTGAGATGTGCTCATTTTCAGGAACAAGGCTAAATCCTTTTCTGTTAGTCTACTTCTGAAATAATTTTTTCTAAGGTTCATAATTGAAAACTCTTGTTCCCGTATATAAGATTAAGCTACAATAGCACTGATTTTCTGGGCGTGAAATTTTAAATTTTGGAAACTAGCTTTTGGTAATGATTTGTCAAACTTAGGCATATTTAGAAACAACTGCTTCAGATGATTGTTAGATTGTCCGCTCTTTGGAGCGTAAAATGCGCAGTCTGCCAANTAAGGTAAATATCTTTCAAAAAAGAAAAAAAAATCCTAAAATCTTATGAGGAAGAAAAATTTTCTTTTTAAAAATGGCGCGAAAATCTATTGAATTTCGTTCCGGGTTTTTGGTTTTCCGGTTTTCTGATTTCCGGATAACGGGTTCTGTACTGTACTTCTGTTTACTAATAGATCTATCAATTTTATACTAGATCAATCATTTTTATCAAATTCATTATCGAATCACTCGCCAATTCGAATAACCGAAGTGAACTAATTCTATTGATTCAATTTACTTTGATGATTTGTTTTTTTGCCCATGAGTTCTTGAAACCAATAAATTCACAAAATGTAAGGATGTTTAGCACTTAATACATACTTAGAACAATTAAGATTAATTTTAAAAGAAAAATACATACTGAGATTCTGTCAAATAAAGATACGGTCTAGGTCAGGGATGGGCAAACTTTTTTGGTCGAGGGCCAAAAATCAAGAAAAAAAATGTTTGGTGGGCCAAGAAAGATCTTCAAAATTTAAGAAAGAAAAAAAGCGATATACAAGTTTTAATTTAAATATTTAGTGGGATGAAGGAAATTGCGTTTTTATTTCTGAAAGTTCCTTATATTAAGGTTCGAAGTGAGATGTGCTCATTTTCAGGAACAAGGCTAAATCCTTTTCTGTTAGTCTACTTCTGAAATAATTTTTTCTAAGGTTCATAATTGAAAACTCTTGTTCACGTATATAAGATTAAGCTACAATAGCACTGATTTTCTGGGCGTGAAATTTTAAATTTTGGAAACTAGCTTTTGGTAATGATTTGTCAAACTTAGGCATATTTAGAAACAACTGCTTCAGATGATTGTTAGATTGTCCGCTCTTTGGAGCGTAAAATGCGCAGTCTGCCAAATGTGAAGTACAATTTACCTATATTAGATTCCATAAGTCAGCTCCTCGAGAAAGACAAACGCTAGTTGGAGCCAATCTACGGCTATTCTATAAAGAACTTCTGCTTTCAACATTTTACCAATAGAAGCTGTCTGTGCTAACTATTTCCATCAATTTATGTTTTGTAGAACAAAAATAGAGAAAGTAAAAATGTCATCAGTACTTTGTTAAAAAAGGAAAAACAGAAATAATTTTAAACATAGTCGACAATAAAATTGATGTATATTGTTTATATTTGCCGCTGATCGGCAAATAAAAATTCTATCCGCGGGCCGGATAAAATCCTCCGGCGGGCCACAGTTGGCCCGCGGGCCGTAGTTTCCCCATCCCTGGTCTAGGTTAACTCCAGGAAGGAAATTTTTGTTTCTGTTGTGTTCTCAGCCAACCACAGACCTGCAGGGCTTTTTAAACTCTATGTTCAAATGGAGGGACACTCTATAGTGTGTTAACAGAAAAGATAGACCAAAAGTAAACAAATAGGTGGCTATAACAGAGTGCATAGTCAAATCTTTGAACAAAAAATAAGCACCTTTTAAGTACTTTTTAAGCACTCAAAAAATATTTGAAACTCTATATACAATAATAATATGCAAACTATTTTTCAAAGAATTTAAATGATCATGATAAAATAACTAGTTTCTGACTAAGAACACTTTTCTTGATTGTATTAGCCATTATATAATGATCAAGAGATTTTTCTGTTCAATATCAGAATCTGAAATTGAGAATATTCTGCAAAATGCAGCAGAGTTGCACAGGAGGGTGCAATAATCTCGCCAAACCCAGCACAGTTACACATACGGACTCGCAAGTATTTAACCAAACATATAAAATTATTGGAGCTTTCATTTGCTATGGACCGACGGTAAACTGAAATGGATTGTGGTTGAATGAATTGTGAAAACGTTGAACAGAACAATGTGAAAAGCACGCTTTTTGCATAATATGTGGCAAAAATCGACAGGCTAAAGAAAAAAAAGCTCATTTTCCAAAAGGGAAAATTAAGCACCTTTCAAAAAACACCCAATGAAAAAAGCACATTTAAGGGCTTTTAAAAAACGAAAATAAGCACCTTAATACATTTTTTAAAAATGCTACGCATCATGTATAATGTTGTTAAGGTTTGTCACTTTTGGGGATTTTTCTCTCATTACACATTTTTATACAATTATGGTAAAAATGAATAGCAGAGAGGTTATTCTGTTTATTTTAAATGCACAACTTATTCAGAATACAATGAAACTACATATTCAAGCAGTTATAGACCAGTTACTTGCAAACTGATTAACTTTATATTATTTTGACTTGCTAATAATACTCCTATGATACAAAAAATTAATAAGTGTAAAATCCAGGCACTAAGTTTAACATTATCAATTAACTGATAAACGTGTGATACCACCAAGTGACGTATTTACATCTAGTGTAGCTTTTCACTGAATATACTATAGCTCTGGTTGAGGAATATTACAACAACTGCATATAACATCAAACTAATATTAAAGTAAGTAACAAAACACATTTTTGGACAAAAACACATTTTTATTAGGAAAAAGTTAAAAATAACTGGAATTGAGGTGGTTGTACAGTGTTACTAGTTGGTATCTCTACACTGAAAATAGGTCTGAATCAAGAAACAGTCCACTTCTATTATTAACCGATTACAAGAATATCACAAGACATGCAACGATGCATGATCAATGCATTTCATTACAAAAAATAATTGCTTATGGAAATATATTTGCATTTCAAATTCACAAAGACTTTTAAAATGTTTCTGTGAAAGACTGAAATTGCCGACTTTCGTCGGTAAATGTCAACAATCACATAGTTGCTTCGGTATATCTCCAAAATAAATGTTAGGTCTGATTTCAAATTAATTTATTCTCAATATTTACTTATCTGTCTAGAAAAGATCAGAAAAATTATTGGATACTGGACAGACATAGAGAAATTAACCAATATTCTCCACCCTAATGTATTTTTGAGAGCAAAAATCTTTGCTCAGTTTTCAATACATTGATTTTTTTAAATTAATTAATCTTAAATTAAGTGCCATTGTCTGATATTTCCTACAGTGATGTTTTTTCCAATTCCTACTATTAGTTCACATTCTCCCTATATCTTGTTCAAATTTTCAATCATTAATAAAATACTTTTTATTCAACCACTCAAATTCAAAGACCAACTTTAGTGGATAACACTTGATGTTAATACAGTTTTTTCCAAATATTAATTCATTCATTAAATTTAATTCACTAATTTCAATTTCATATGGGAGAAAGAATTGTAATTTTTTAACAAAAAGTAACTAAAATAAAATTTTTCTGAACAAAATTTCAAAAAAAAAAAAAAATTCTGTTGACCTAAGTAGGAAAAAAACGTTTTTTATATCACTTCAAAGTTAAATGCCTGGTATTCCTTATAATGGATGTTTTATCCAATCTATCTTAATCCGATATGAAAAAATCAGACAAATATTACAATATCAATGGACACATAAATATAAAATTGGATATAACAATTATTTGGAATAATCATCTATGCGATTATGTGATTGTTGAAATTCCCTGGTGAAAGTCGATGTTTCGATATTTCACAGAAGCGAACATAATGCAGAAATCATCAAATCCAATTTGAGTAAAACAACTATCTTTATATGAAAGACTGGTACATCATAAAAAAGAACTTAAATTTAATAAATACATAGGTGCATATATAACTGTGTATTTTACTAAAACCTATTTCTTTCAATGTCAATAACAACAAAATATTATCATCTTGCAATAAAAAACAAACGGGGCTTGAAATTAACAATCTGTCTCCCATAAAATAATTATCAGTGGTCTTTTGAACTGATTACAGTCAACTGAGAGTAAAAGAAACATCAACTGATTTGTTTCGGTGCTGACAATAAAATATTACTTGTTCATAATTGCACATTTTCTGTAATTTTTCCCGTTATTTCCCCTTGATGAACTTAATATTAAAAAAATTATCTACATTATATTTAAAGTGTTTATGAAAACATATACAGTCAAACCCCGCTATAGAGAACACGGTGCGAACTCCCAGATATAGGGAACGAAATGTTTGCTCCCATGGCTTGCTACACACGTATCGTGTTATTCTTCGTAGATATAGTGAACCAAAAAAAGAGGGGAAGTTGGATATTACGGACGTTTTCTGTCTTCGACTGATTTATTTTCTTCATTTTTTATGAAATAAACTTGAAATGTCGACTTAAAAAAATAATAAAAAATACATATACCGATTTTTAAAAACATTTGTAGCATGGAATGTAGCAATAAGCATTTTTTCTTATTTGCTTCATTATTGAATTGGTTCAGCATTCGAAAAAACCGGAATCTGGACAAATGCTTCAAGTCAAAGCAGATGAATTTGCTGAGTGATTTCGTGTGACTACTTTTATGTGCTTGAATGCCTGGGTAGACAAGTTTAAAAAGCGGAATAATATAAATTCAGGAAAAATTATCAGAGAGTCGAAAATGTTTTCATATCTGATGTTGAGGATTGATCATTAGCTAAAGATTTTTTTTTGTACTCAAGACTAAGAGTAATAAAAAATAAAAGTTAACACATTTTTGTTGCCAAGCATTATTTTTCAATAATTTTTGTATTTCTTTTTATGGGTCATTTATTTAAATAACGAGTAATAAAAAAGAGGGAGTTTGGAACTATTAGTTAAAATTGTTTGCGGAACGGATATTGAAATTTCAGTCCCTCGAAGGTCCATTTTGACTGTATAAAACTTCAATTCAATTTATTATTACTTTACAAACTTTTAATATTGCATTTGTTAATATTATTTTGTACCCAGACGTCAACTTTTTTTTTCCAAATAAAATACAGGCATAGGAAAGGACCACTAAAAGTATATAGACCAGTAAAATATTTTAGTTGCTGGTTCTTTGAACCATTAGCTCCCACACACCCCACATGCATATGCAATTAAATGCATGCAAATTATGCATACATGTAAAAAGATCTTCCTTTTTTTACAAAAATATCAGGGTTGCTACTCAAATCTGGAAGAAAAAAAATCCCTGTACATATAATACACAATATATTAAGAGGAAACAACAATTACTGTGCTCTTGTGTGAGCTATATTGGGCTAACTATATTTATTAGTTTTAATTGCTGGTAAAACAGCTGAACATACTTTAATGCTATAGTAAATGAAATAGTTTAGTATAGCTAAAATATCAAGGTTCAATATCCTCTAGATGACGCTTTGAGTGGTCACAATTTTTTAAATCACAAAAATAAGAAACAAAATTCCCTGTATTTTCCCAGTTTGCAAAGAAAAAAAAAATCAAAATTCCCTGCATTTCCCCTGTTATTTTGGGTGATTTTAAAATTCCCTGTGTTTTCCAGGTTTTCCCTGTGGAGTGGCAACCTTGAATAGATACATTAATTAATGCATAAGTTTGTTTACAATTAAATTCAAACAAATGAGTAAAAGACTAATTGAGACACTAAAAAGAAAAAAATGACTAGTTTTAAAAGCAAAGTGATAAATAAATATCACATAAAACATGCCACTAAGTAGACTAAATGCTGTTTAATATAACCTTAAGCTTAAAGGGTCTTAATAACATGAAAAATAAGACATGAGCAGAATTTTTTATAACAAACTGTTCATGATATACAAGCAATTTTTACTCGTTGATTCGCTGACTAGGGAATTGCGTTTAAATATTAGCCAAATTTTTATCAACCTTAAAACTCTTCTTAAAAAACCATTACAATAACTTCCGCCTAATATTCAAAACTGATAGAAATTATAAATATGCAGAATTTTAGTTATTGCGTATACTAAAAAGATATTGAAAAATGACAAAATGATGACAGTTTAAGAAAAGAATCTTTACCATTAACAGTTAGAACAAAGCATTCTTTCTTTAAACAATTTTTAAAAAATGGTTAAATTTCTAACTTTTTTAAAATTATAAAGATAATACTTGAACAAGAGAAAAACATTTTGATTTTTGGTAACATTTTTACGCCATAGTGACCGGGGAAAAATGAAGTGGATATTTTGTTCACCCTCAAATGCGTTGTTTAAAATAAGAAAAAATATAGAAAGGTAGTTTTTTTTTTTTTTAAGTTTTACTCCTGTAAGACCTCTTTAAATAAAAAGTGTTTTTCAACAAGCTATTTTTAACAAAAAATTCTGATTTAGGATATTTTTGCATTACTTTAATCTATGAATTAAATGACTAAATAAATAAAACACAAACACTAAACAGAAAAAATATACAATATTTGGAAGAAATACTAAACTTAAAAATAATACTAAGTTTAAAGAAAATCTACACAAACCTTCATGTTTAGCATAATCTTAGAATAAATCTAAGGTATTAAACAATTTTTTGTCAATTTAGAATTAAAATAATGAACACATTGAGATATGCATATAAATCATATAAATTAAACTAAAAAAAAAGTAAAATATTGAGAAGAAAATGTCTGGTGAGCAATGAACACAAATATTGAGATTTCACGAAACTATTGCATTAATAAAATTAGATAAATTTAATACCTAATCAAACAAGGCAAATATTCCGAAATTAAAATAATAAGATTAAACATAATAATTTAATTTTTGAAAGTCCAAAAATTGCCAAAAATAAAAGTTGTTGAGCACACAAAATGAGCATATGTGTTACTCAATAAGCCTTTTAAAATATTATAAGAAATATAAAGGATTATACAAAGTTTAACTAAACAAAAAAAAACTAATTTATTAAAGATAAATAATAAATTAGCTTTCTTAATAACCAATGAAATAAGATTGTGATTAAAATACTAAAATTAAACAATATAATTTGATTGCTTAAATTGTAAAAATTGCCAGAAATATAAGGTGTTGAGCACACAAAATGAGCATATATATATTTCAATAATTTTTGTAAAATATTACACAAAACATACAAGTTTCTACAAAACTTAACAGAACAAAGAAGAAAAAAAGTTTAATTTGTTTACGCAAAAAAATAAATAAATAAACTTTTCTAATAAAAATTATATATAAATCAGATCTGAAAAGGCAATTATGCTAATATAAACTCTTTCAAAACAGTAATAACACTTGCAACTTCAACAAAATAATTCTGACATTTAAATGAATTACCTCTTCTAGTTCATTTATGTGAATCATCTGACATAAATGAATTACTTCTTCTAGTTCATTTATGGGAATTATCTGATACATTGATAAATATTTTTATCTTTTATTTTGAGATGTCTTAAAATATTTTTAATTAAACAAGCTGGTGGAATTTGCAGTAAATAAAGAGCTGTCCAATTTCTTTTCTGGGAAAGTGAATTCAAACAAATAACTGAAATATAATAACTTAATTTACTACACCTTCAAAAAGATAAAGAAAGAGATAAAAAGGGAAAGCAATCACTGATGGGGTATATAAAGCCTTCCACTCAGGTAACTTCAACTAAACTATATTGAGCCTGAATAGTTTGACATCAGATTGTAAAAACTACTTGAGTGCTTCCTTTTGATGTCCTGTTTGAAATATCTTACTCTTCAGGGATTTTTCTTACAAGATTTTCAGGAACAGAAGAAATGTGTAAACAATATTAATAAAAATAATATTACTGGATGGGGGAGAATTTCGTCGGTTTCATCCATCGACTTTCCATCTTTCGAATCAAAGGAACTGAAAGAACATAAGTTGTTTAATGCAGATATCTCTAAACATGCATATAATGTGTGTACATTTAAAATAGTATTTTTATTTATTTATTTATTATACATTTCTTTCTTTATTATTTTTCCATAATTTTCTTCACTGCAGTGAAATGTTTGCAAAACTGATTCATTTAAATTTTTACGTAATTCAAAACTTTACAAGTGCATTTTTTTAAAAAAATTTTTACAAAATTAAATTTGGTGTTCTATAATAATGATAAATTTCAGAGGTTTTACTATAAAATCAAACTTTATTACCGCCTCACTAAAATATAACGTTCTAATTTGATCCTAAATAAAAGTAAAGTTAAGCATTCTTGCACAAACTTACAGGGTGCGTAGCTGAACCTTTCAACAAAAAATAACCACATCTTAAGTGTTTTTTAAGCACTCAAAAATATTTCTAAGTATATTATTTATATATTAACAAAATTTAAAATAATTTTCAGACTTTACTTGATCATGATAAAATAACTCGTTTCTGACAAGAAACTCTTTTCTTGATTATATTAGTGATTATAAAAAGATCAAGAGATTTTTAAGTTCGATATCAGAGGGTGGCAAATGAGGCCAGAAATTGAGAATATCTTGCAAAATGCAACAGAGTTGCACACGATAGTGCAATAATCTCACCGAACCCAGCTCAGCAGATCCACATGCGGACTCAGAAGTATTTAATCAAACATGTAAAATGATTGGTGCTTTCAAACCCTAACGACCGACGGTACACCGAAAGGCATTAAGTTTGAATGACTCGTGAATTGAATATTGAGTAGCATAATGCGAAAAGCACGTTTATACATAATACATGGTGAAAATTGACATTACCTTCTTAAAAATCTCTTTTTCCAAAAAGGAAAATTAAGCATTTTTTAAAAACATCCCATGAAAAAAGCACCTTTTAGGGCTTTAAAAAATGAAAATAAGCACCTTTAAGCACTTTTTAAAATCGCATAATGAATAGCATAATGTGAAAAGCACGTTTTTACATAATACATGGTGAAAATTGACATTCCCTTTTTAAAAATCTCTTTTTCCAAAAAGGAAAATTAAGCATTTTTTAAAAACATCCCATGAAAAAAGCACCTTTTAGGGCTTTAAAAAATGAAAATAAGCACCTTTAAGCATTTTTTAAAAATCGCAACGCACCATGACCTGCTATGGGATAGGGGAATCATGGAGGTTTAGATGTGTGTCAAATGACATAACTGTGGTCAGCATTTTACTGAGTAATTCAGAAAATTGAATTTCAACTGTAAATTTCAAGCAGAGAAGTAACTCTGATTAATGCTGAGAAATATTAATTAAAAATGGTGTTGGAAAATCAAAATATTAAAAAACAAGATAAGACTAACCAGTATGAGCAACACATTCATCCCAGCCAGGTTTTCTCCATGCAGCATCTCTTACATCCTTTCGCATTTGTAGATTCTTATAACCTAAATATGCAATACATTTTTTTCACAAATTTATTAATCATATATAAAATTTAGTTACAATGTTTGACCGTTTGAATCACAACTGTCGAAGAATCCCAAACAGCGCAACCGCACTTTCTCTAAAAGAGGACCAAGCAGCGGCTAGTTTTACTTTATTTCGAGAAACACAAAGTGGCACGATAGTGCTTTGTTTCTTTTACATCGAAGAATCCCAATCAGAGAAAAAACTCTTCTTGTATTTGTTAGGTATCGTGTCTTTTTCTCATTGCTCCGTCACATTTAAGAGCACTGTTTCACTAAATGTCCCCTACAAAAATATCTTATTGACTATACCAGGGTATAGGGCAAAATTAGAGAATTTTTCTACTGTGCATTTGCATCATTTTTAACAGACTTAAATTAAACTTTTTATTTTTAAACCTTTCAAAAATTGAAAATTTTTCACAATAAAAAAACTGTTCATATTGATAGATTAATTCAGAAACATTTTCTAAAATATGGCTAACATTGCAAGGTTTATTTCTAAAGTGAAGAAACATTTTAAGAAACAAAATATATCATTTTCACAATGTCATTTAACAACTAACATAATCTAACATTTTTTGAAAAAAGTTTATAAAATGCACATTAGGTGCATTATCGTCAAAGAAAAGGAGCAGTAGGGTGGCTAGACGATTTTTTAATAGAAACTTGTTGTACTTAGTCGAACCGTGGCAGTTAGCAACTGTTAATTTTACCCTATATCACAATTAATTCTTTAAAAAAAATACATTCATTCTGTTTGGGACCTTCTAATTAAATGTAACCAACCATTCAAATGTAACTTCCAGTTAATTAAAAAAATCTACTGTTTAAACAAGTTTATAAAATAATCCAACAGAAATATAAATAAATAATGGCAGTAAATTAATAATGGTGAACAATAACATAAAAAAAACATGAAAAAAAGCATTAAAACTAAAAAAAAATTACATTATTGAATTTTACTTAGGTTCTATTAATAATGTAATTGCACGACTGACAATTTTTTAATATACAACAAGATCAGATATGCTAGATCAGATAAGCAGATATGATATATATAGTAAATTTATAACAGTGCAAAATAATATAGAAAAGACATGAATACTATTAGAGAATTTATGTTTTTTAATGTAAAATTCAAATGATTCTTTATTACTTATACGATAAAAAAAAGTATTATAGATAAATTAAGCTTTCAATTAAGATCAAAATAACATAGTTTAACAAGTACTTTTAATTTCAGTGCAGAAGCCTACTAGAATCTATAAATAGTACATTTTAAGAATTCATATGACATTTATTTCCTTATTATTATTCCACTTGATCCAGTCCAGAAGACAGTCAGTTCAGATGATTTTAGGAATTTTGAATGCAACTGTCTCCTTAACAAATTGCGAGTGAGTCACGTAAAAATAAGTTTTTTAAATGTCTGCAATCCATACAAATATTTAAAAAGTGGTAGAATAATTACTTTGTTTCCGTTTTGTTTCTCAAAGAAATTATCCATTCGTCATTACCAAAATATAAATGATTCAATGTAATCAGTATTGCAATCGTTTATCCTAATTTATTTTTTTAATTGAAGTTGTAGCTAAAGTGACAAGTGTGCTCCAACTTTTATGAAATCACGCATACCATATTTTTTGGAAAAGTTGCCCGCATGCTACGTATTAAAGCAAAAATAAGCATTTAAGCAATTGATACATATGTTGTGAAGTTTGCCATATCAAAATTGATAGATAAATGCTTCATTTTGATTAATTTTCTTCACAAGTTCGATAACTATATCTTATAAACACAATAGAAACATGAAAAATATAAATTTGAGTATCAGAAATAAAAGACACTTTGAGCGATATAAATTTTTCATGAAAACCAGTCAAATAATTATTCTATGTCTTTTCTAACTGATTAAATTTGTTATTTTTTAGCCTTTATAGTGCTTTGTAGCTCTTAAAAAGACAAAAGGGAAAGTATAAAAAAATGGACAGAGTGTCTCCAAAAAACAAGCTGTCATCACTTAAAAACACTGCCTTCTTATTTATGTTCCATTTTAAAAGAGATAATTTTATTGTTAAAATAATAATTACACTGAGGTAAAAATATCTGTGTTTATACGTTTAATTTTGATTACTATAAAAAATATTTACTTTGTTAGGGTTATTCTCATCTCGGGAAAATGTTTACAAGTATCTTTTTTTTTTTCGGCGAAGGATATTGAAAATTTTCATAAGTGATTTTAAATTTCAAAATTATTTTCAAAATAAAAACCTTTCTTTTAAAAAAAATTTGCCTTTTAATGTCAATTTCCTTATAATTTTCAGTTAAAATTATAGAAAGAAGCTTTCAAGTTGTTTATCAATTAATCTTTTTTTTTTAGATTATTCATTTATTTTTTTAAAATTATGCACAGATATTATTGTTAAAACTATTTTTACACACTACAAATTTTTCACTTACTTTGATAATGACAAAGAATTACTTTTAAACATACATGTAAAATAGTATATGAGGGTAATTTAAAAAATTGGAAGATAAAATTCAGCTATTACATAATATTACACATTTCAAAAAATTTTTACGGCTTTAAGTGAGTGCATTTTCAAAACTCAAAAGTGCTCTTTCTTATTCCGATGGAGAAACAGATATACTTACTCCATATATGATGAACCATATACAATTGTCCTATCTGTGAGAAAAAGCCAGCAACTGCACTCTCTTTTCTATAAGTTACTCCTCTAGCCCTGTAACATGAAATATTGTTAATAGAAAAATATTAAAGCATTCATTTAAAAAAATGTTTTAGTTAAAATAAGCATTACAAACAACATGCATAGCCAAATTTTTCAAAGAAAAATAAGCACCTTTTAAGTATTTTTTAAGCACTCAAAAAATATTTTTAAGTACCATTATACATTAACGAAATGCAAAATAATTTAAGATTTAAAGACATGATTACATAAATTTACATGATTATGATAAAATAACTCGTTTCCGACAAATAATTATTTTCTTTATTATGTTAGACATTATAAAAAGATCAAGAGGTTCTTCAGTTCGATAACAGGTGGTGAAAAATGAAGCCTGAAATTTAGAATATCTCGCAAAATGCAGCAGAGTTTTGCAGATGAGAATGCATGAATCTCACTGCATCCAGCTTAGTAGACTTGCGAGTATTTCATCAAACATGTAAAATGATTGGTGCTTCCATAGCTATGGACGCCAAAATAGATTGTGGTTGAATTAATTGAGAAAATGTTGAATAGAACAACGTGAAAAGCTCGCTTTTGCATAATACGTGGCGATCTAAAAAAGACTACCTAAATCTAAAAAGACTACCTAATTATGACTCCCTGAATTTCCTGATCAGCAACAGTTATTTAGCAGAACTTCACTTTGTTTATTACTTTTCAATAATTTTACAGCCATAAATTCTATTTAAAAGGAGGGAGAAATAATTTTAAAGCATTTAATTTTTTCTTGAGCAGCTAAAGTGAAAAGTTTTAAAGCATGAACATGTGGCAAAATGTAGAAATCGGCAATGTCATCCTTCATCTATGAAAAGGTATCCCAACACAGAATCAAGTTAACATGTATTATATACTAGTGAATTGTATTTTTGTAATGGTAGATACACTACAGAACTCCCCCCACTAGAATAATAGCTGTGGTAGAATTCAATGAAAGGATACCACTAGTTGAGTCATTGGCGTTTTGTGAGAAGCCGGGAGAGCTGTATTTAGATCACCCTACTTTTGAGTGCTGATCGTGAGAGTTGTATTAAGTTCACGGTTGTGGTCGTTCCTGTGCTGCCTTTAGCAGTCAGGTGTATATGTTCTGTGTAATTGAGACTAAGTAGCGACATTGTGAGGAGTACAAAGTCGCAGTCAAAAGTAGCAAGTGAACTGTTCAATGCGGACGATCCATCGAGAAAGGCACATACAGATCAAAGTAGGCGTTACTGTTACGATAGGCGAGTGCTCACTTCGAAGTGGAAGTTTCCGTCAAAGTAGGTATGTTCACATCACGCCTGGAGGTCACCAATGTGGAAAAATTTAAAGATCAGCAATGTCCATATTCATCGCCACCCAACATAGAATCGAGTTAACATGTCTCATATTATACTAGTGAATTTCAATTGTATTTTTGTATTGGTAGACACACTACAAACAGCTGTAGCAATGACTGAGACTTTCGGAATATGTGCTCAGTATTTCGAAAAAGAAATTATTAAAAATTAGAGATTTAACTGTAACTTACATCTTTCCTTAAGTAGGCCCCTCTTCCTACCCCAAATACATCAAAACAATTTTGGCCGAATGCTCTCCGATTGGGAAAGTTTGCAGATTTCTACCCGTTACTTGATTTTAAAGAAAAGAAAAGAACTCTCTTTGTAAAATATATAAAATCCCTGTAGCAGAATTTATTTGAGCTATCTGTGACAAACTCTCTATCACTAATATCTTTCTGCAAGATACTTTTAATAATAACAAACATAGATGCTACAAATTTAAAATAACAAAAGTGCTGATGTTTACAAAGAAAAAACTATATATAGATATTTTTTAATAAAACATGTAATAATTTTTTATCCTGATAGTATGGGTGATATTCTCGCATGTTTGTGGGGGGCGGACACAAATTATTTCCTTCTTCACATTTTGTAAATAATTATCACAATAAAAAATATAATTAAAAATCATGAAATTCATAGTAGTAATTGCTAGGAAAAAAGATACAAGATGAAATCACACGAAACAGGCTCCTCAAATGCGTGTTTCCTTTCAAGATTAGGCTGTTGTAATAAATACTATTGTATAAAAAATATCAGATCTAAAAACTATGGAGAAATCAATAGCAATAACTGCCAAAAATTTGATAGAAAAAAAGCCTTATAAAGTAAATACTCAAATGCACGATTCGAATTTTCCATATTGTTGAAAATATATATTGGGATGTTTAAAATCCAAGTGAAAATCAATAACTGCCAAAAATGCAATTGAAACATTACATCCATTACCAATTCTATCAACATAAATTGAGCGTTGTTCTGAAGTTCTGGCAAAAAAAAACTAAGAACACTCACTGTATCTCCTTTAATACATTTATTAAATCACTGATTCTTAGGAGAATCCAGTTCATATCATAAGTATTATTAATTCATGCTCGTGCAAAAAATGTGAATGACGATAATGAAAATAATGTGATAAAAAAAAGATTATTAGAGCATGGGAAAAAATAACATTGAATAAGCATAAGGAAAAATTTGTTTGTGTAAGAACATACCAATTATTTCCCCATTCTATCATGGTGCCAGGCTTTAAAATAAAAATAAATAACAATTAGCATCAGTAAAATGCCTTGCGATAAAAAAAATCTAAATAACAAAGGAAAAAAAATACCTTAAGAACATAAGATCTCATTTCATACATATTAGAACCTTCTTTAGGCTGAGGGTGTCCCCAGAAACTAAAAGATAACATGAATTGATTCTCTCTGTGCCTTATAAAGGGTATACGATCCTTTATCAGACTCTTTAAATCATTATCCGTGTGACGTAACTCCAAAAATTCATGGGCATGGTTATAACCGTGTTTATAGCGCCACACGTGAACTGGAAAAAAAATAACCAACATTAAGCAATTAAAAAAGGGAAAAAATGTTTTGTTTCAAATAAATCAAAATAAAAGATGGCCTGGTTTTGGACACAATGATAAAATACAGCACAAAAATTTTTTTTACCGTCCTCAGTGTGCATAACCAAATCTTTCAACAAAAAATAAGCACCTTTTAAGAACTTTTTAAGCACTCAAAAATACTTTTAAACACTCTCTATAGACATTAACAAAAATGCAAAATAATTTTCAAAGATTTCACATGATCACGATAAAATAACTAGTTTCTGACAAAGAACTCTTTTCTTGATTATATCAGTCATTATAATGGTTAAGAGATTTTTCGGTTTGATATCAGAGGGTGGAAAATGAAGCCTGAAAGAGAATATCTACTTGCAAAATGTAGCAGAGTTGCACATGAGAGTGCAATAATCTCACTGAACTTTGCTCAGTAGATGCACATTGGGACTCATCAAGTATTTAATTAATCATGTAAAACGATTACCGCTTTTAAACGCTATGGACCGATGGTACGCCAAAATAGATTGTGGTCGAATGAATAGTTAAAATGTCGGGTAGAACAATGTGAAAATCACGCTTTTGCATTATGTGTGGTGAAAATCAACATGGTAAAGAAAAAACTTTCAGTTTCGAAAAGGGAAAATGAAGCACTTTTTAAAAACACCCCATGAAAAAAGCACCTTTAAGCACTTTTTAAAAACACTATGCACCATGTTTAAGACACTTTTGAACAATAAATCAATTTTGTCCTGTCAAAAAGAAATTCAACAAAATTTACAGTTTTAACCTTATTCATAATATCTTCCCATTAAATACTTGGATCAAATCACCCCAAAGATACTTGTATAAAGTTTCATCATTTATATTCAAGGTTGATTAAACCTTTGGATAGAAAAGCTTATTTAACAGAAGAATATAGAGGTTAGTTCAAAAAAAATTATTATAATAATAAAAGTGGTTCAAAAAAGAAAACATTAAAGTCAATGTACATTCATTGTAAAATCTAACACATCTAGAGAATAATTTGTGTAGGTCTAAACAAATTCTCCAAACAAAAATTATTATTGTGAATTGTAATGAAAACTTTCAATGCAAAACATACTGAATTGATCTTGAGAACCTATTTCTACACTCCAGCTTCCAACTAATTCTGCTCCATCAGATTTATTAGCTGCAATTTTGGCATATTTTTCACTAAAACATAACAAAAACATACTTTACCAATTTATTATCAACAACAACTATTTTTAAAATTTATTAAAAGTAAACAAGTTCATATTTTAACTAAAAGATAAGTTTAAAAAATGTAATAGAATTTTTGAAAACAATTTGTAGAAACCCAAGAGGCAGAATTTTTTCTGGCTTTCTGCAACAAAACTATCAAGCACTAATATCTTTCTGCGGGATACTTTAAATATGTATGTTACTAATTTAAGGTAACAAAAACAAAAAAACAGTGTAATTTTTTTCATTGAATATGCAGTATTTCTTGATTCGAATATTATGGGTGATATTCATGAATTTGGTTGGGGGGGACTATTGTCGCATCTTGAAATTCTATTGTCGCATCTTGAAAATCCTCATTCAATTTAAAAAAAAATTAAATTACATGAAATTGTAGCAGTAGTTGTTGATAAACAGATCGATGACGAAATCAAAATGGATTAAGAACTCAGTAACGTTCCGCGACAATGTCACCTCAATTCTGCCACAGTTGTAGAAACATTAAGAATTCAAATTATAATGTAAAATGTAATGCAGCCGATATTTTTAAATGACGAAATCAAAGGTAAAAACATACTTTCATTAAACAAAGATTATTTAATTTTGACTGGTTCAGATTTCTGATTCCCAAAATGTTGAGGGTAGCCCCAATCTAGGAAATATAGTCCTAATAGTTTGGTCAAGAGAGTGCTCCAAAGTTTGAACTCCTTAATGGTAATTTTACTTTTTGAATATTTCACCAAATCGCAAGAACTTTTGCTCATAGTTAAAAAATGTGTTTATCCAAAGATAATTTCAAGCACGGAACAACGTTTTAGTATATATTTATTATTTTTATCATTTTATTTAATAATAGTCGGAAAAATTTTAAAATTTAAGGTACACCATTTTTTTATTTCATTTTAAAGTATATAATTTAACATGGCAAAATACAAAAGTTAAGAGAAATCGGTCGAATGGTTCTGGAAAAATCATAATTTTAAAAAAGTTTTAATTCTGAAATTCAATTTTCTCAGGAAGTATTATTTTAATACATTTTAGAACACATTTAAAAACAAGATATACAAGCATCGGCATTCTGGAAGAATTGCATTTGGCAAGGTGACAAACGCTAAGTGCTGGCCCTAAAAATGAATAAATTAACATAATATAATGAATAATTTTAATTGGTTTCAAAGTGGGACATGTTTTGCAGCGATTCAAAGGTGCAAATACTTATTGAAATTTTCATCACTGTGACACAAGTTTTCTACTTTAAATCTATCCCATTCCGGCCAAATCAATTATTTTAGGGATTCCAAGCGTATGTGTACAATAATTATGTACCAAGAAAACAATTTCACACTGTCATTTTTCTAGCTTAAACAACTTTAAAATAGCAGATATTTTGTTTGATGTTGTAAAAAGAGACAAAAAACAATACATAAACTAAAAGATGCACTTCAAAATATCTTTTTATAAAGTAATAGAGAAAAATAAATGAATATCCAAGTTAGTTTTATACTATGATGTAATAACTTTGTCTGAGCTGTTTTACTTCACCCTGTGTGTGTGTGTGTACATAGAGTGGCATAGTTTTGGGGGTGGTTAGGGAGACAAAATTCCCTCCGAAATTAAACATTACTTGAATAATGAACTATTGTATGGTAAGTAGAATGCAGATATATATAAAAGTTTTTATTATTTATTTTTTGTAATTTAAACGTATAGTATATATATCAGAATACACACACACATATATATACAGGGTGTCTCAGTTAAGCATTTCAGAACTTCTAAGAGGGGTAAGGGGCATCCTGACAACTCGAAATCATATAGCAATGTGGGGTCGAAAATGCTTTCCTGAAGCGGTGACGTGCACAGAAGCACCATAAGGAAAAGAGACCGTAAGTGAAAAATCGCTATAATAATACATTGAGAAAATTATATGGCCTCCTCGGTCACCCGACCTATCATGTCTTGAGAAAGAAACAAAAAAATTTTTGTTGCTGATATATACAGAATAAAATTGTGTATAATAATCTATCATTAAATAAATAAATAACTTTGATTACATCCAAGCATATTACAATCATACATAAACTTGGTATTAGGTTAATATTTTCTTTCTTTACAGTATTAGCAATTAAAAAGAATTTCTGGTAACACTTCAATGTCCAGGCATTCATAAGCCAGGATAATGACAAATTCACTATTTTATAGCACATAACGTTACTTTAATTTAATATTTTGGCCGAAGACGTTTATATTCAGCAGAAAACAACAGTATTTCTTAAAATAACTCAGATAAATCTATGTGGTTTTTGTTATTAATGATTTCAAGAAGCCAGGAAAATGACAGCATAAAAACCTACTCTCCTTGAAAAAATTTTTGAAAAAGATTTTGAGCCTGAAAATTGGTTCTTTATTCATGCAACAAGACATGTTCAGATAGGAGGGTATCTAATCAATCTATTAACATAAGATATTGATTCCTGGCACTATCTATTTTGGTTATAAATCACTAAATAAAAGTAGCCAGGAAAATGACAGATTTTCATGGGACAAACAAATTACTGACAGAAAAATTATTTTAAATGAAGTTTCAGTAAACAATACCCTCTGCGTATATTCCAGAAATGCTTACATAGGATAAGATAAAAAAAAATTAGATTTTGAAAAATGTATGGGAAGTTTTGAAGCTAGTTATTATTGGAAATATTGTTTGGGACATGCCAGGAAAATGACATTTTGATATTCAATAAAATTTTTTAAGTATACAAAACAGTCAACGCTAGTGCAAAGTAATTTTAAAATACTAACAGCAATGCTATTTATTAATTTTTTTTAAAAAACAGTTCTTTTAGTATTAGATTTTGGAGCAAGGGACAGTGAATTTCATGTTTCGTGAGAATCACCCATATACATATATATATATACATACACGCACATATATATATATATACAGTGTAAAGTCGTGTATCCGGAAACGGTGGCACTTTCAGAAGTTCGTATAATAGATTTTTCTGTATAATAAACCCACAAGGTAAACAAAGCTTAAAATGATTTAATAAACGATCTGAATCTAAGAAGCAAAAAATAAATAAACATTATTTTTAAGGGGAAAAACGTTTCAGCATCAGAATATCTAATCAATCAAATATAAAATATTAGAAAAAAAAATTATTGCTGAAAGTATGGAAAACGAAAAAAATTTAACAGTTATGAAAATATTAATCCGCCATTTTGAACTAGAACGATTCAAGCAAGAAGGGGAAATTCATGTCATTCTAGAACAAAGCTTAAAATGATCTAAATCTAAGAATCAAAAAATAAATAAACATTATTAAGGGGAATAATGTTTTAGTATTAGAATATCTAATCAATAAAATATGAAATATTAGAAAAAAAATATTATTGCTTAAAATATAGATAACGAAAAAAATTGACATATGAAAATAATAATCCGCCATTTTTAACTAGAATGATTCAAGCAAGAAAGGGAAATTCCCGTCATTCATCAAGGTGGGTAGGTGGAGGAAAAAATTCATTTCCTCCTTATTTGTGAAAGAAAATAAGTGTAAAGAGGAGATCATTTAAGTTGAGGGTGGGGAAGTAACAAATTATTATTTTCTCTCCAATCATTGGCTATCAATCAAGCATAAAGGCGGGGCATGCTGACTGGGTTCTCTTTATTTTTTCTTCTATGACTGAAAGAATCTGCTAAAGAAAGAATATTACCCCCTTTCCCCCCACCCCCTAAATATTACATGGAATGGGGAAGAACGAATGTTTTGTTTCTCAAGGACGTGTATCTTTTTAGACCTATTCAAATTTTCCATTTTGACTCCCCCTCCACCTTAACGTTTGCCCCGTTTACCCTTTCCACAGTATTTCTTCTTTCAATAAAAAGGTTCCAGAAAATGCCTCTTTTAGTAACCGCCTGCATGGGAACGGAGGGGGGGGGGACTCAGTTGCGGTATTTGAAAACACATCTCCCTCTTTTTCCTACATTCCAAGGGAGGAGCGCCACTAACGGTCACTCAATGGTCTTGGTAGATCTTCACTACCCTTTTCTGGTTATTTATGGGTTTGATGCATAAATCAGAGGTTTGGTGCAAGCTAGAAAAAGAGAAAATGTGTCAAAAGACCTTTTTTTTTAAATATTTTTTTTAGGAAAGGGGAAGATGGAGAGATGTTTATTTTGATTGTTAAAAAGTGTCCGGGAAATCGACCCTTCCGGGAAAGGGACGTCCGGATATGGGATGTTACACTATATATATATATATACATACACACATACATACAAATATATATCATATATATATCATATATGTATATATTAGAAGGAGGTAACCAATAACCCCATTGAGCATACATTAAAACTATGTCACTGTGAACATATACAGTAAAATCTCCAAGAAAGACAACCTCTGTGTTGCGACCTCCTCCATTTACGACCACTTTGAAGAGGTATGGAATTTTTTCCACATACTTTGTGTTCAAAGAAACATTTAAGAGAAACTATCAAAACCTCTCCCAGCCACCGGGCAAACCTCCGCACAAAATGACGAAAAGGTCAAATAAGGAACCACAAAAAAATATCAAAACAAAAAATATTAGCAAAACAAATAAATAGATTTAAGTGTATTTGTGAGTGGCTCTTAATTTAAGAGCTCTTTTTGAGGATCTCTGAAAGAGACTGGCAAACCCCATATTACAGTTAGAGTGCATGAAAGATCAATGATTTAGTTTTAGAGTTATAAGTTAAACTATAAAAAAAAGATACTCCAGAAAAAACATCTCAAACAAACTTCTAATTTTTTAAGGTAAACAAATTTTTAAAATGCAAAATTAAATGCAAACGACACAGCGACAAAACTCACTAACACTAATATCTTTCCGCAAGATACTTTTAATAATAAAATATATATGTTAGTAATTTAAAATAGTAAAAGTGCTGCGTTTACTAAAAAAAACTGTAAAATTTTTTTCAATTGAACATGTGATAATTTTCTTATTATAATATTATTTGTGATGTTCTCACATTTGTTTGGGGAGGGGGGATGCACAATTATTTCCTTCTTCGCATTTTGTAAATAATCATCACAATAAAAAAAATAATTAAAAAATCATAAAATCCGTAGTAGTAATTGCTAAAAAAAATAACGACGGAATCACGCGAATAGGACTCCTCAAATGTGTTTCGTTTTGAGATTAAATTATTCTATTTAATAGCGTATAAATATTTCAAATTAAAAAACTATGGCGAAATCAATAGCAATAACTACCAAAAATTCGATAGAATTACTGCGTTAAAAAGTAAATACTCTACTCAAATGCACAATTCAAATTTTCCACACTGTTTGAAATGTATCATGATATTTAAAATCCATGGAAAAATCAATATCAATAACTCCCGAAAATATAATTGATAGAATTACTGCGTTAAAAAGCAAATACTCAAATGCACAATTCGAAATTTCCACGCTGTTTGATATGTATCATGATATTTAAAATCCACGTGAAAATCAATATTAATAACTGCCGAAAATATAATCGAAACATTACATCGATTTAAGATACTATCGGGTTAAAATGAGCGCCTCCAAAAGTGATTATCTAGATACATGATACAAATATTACGTGGAAATTTCTGTACAAAAAAGTAATTTTACTTTACTTTTCGAAGAAAAAATCTTTCTGCGGGATTTCTGTAACGTTCTACGACAATGTCGCGTCATCGCTACGATTCTGCAGCAGGGATTTTTATTGCAGCTAAATTTTATTCATCGATTCACGTTGCCGAAACAAGTGGCATTTTCACACCGACACAGAGAAGTATTAAAATAGCTTGCAATAAATCATACACCTTCAATAACATTTTGAAGTCAACCCTTAAGAATGACCATTTTACTGTGGTACAGAAAGTGGTCAGTACCCGTAGGTACCACTGTACATACAATAAACAAGGAGAAAATGTATAGTAAAAACAAGAAAGAGTTCTGATAAATATACTAATTCAGATATTATATAATTTTCATTTTAACCTTTATAATATTAGCACAAATCATTAACTGTTATAGCATTTTAAAATGAACTAAAATCAAGATGAAATGAAAATCATCCAAAAGTTAAAACTCTAATCGAATTTGAACAACTGAGATCTTTTGTTACAAAATCTAATGAATTTAATGAAACTAAGAACCTTTATCAAAAAACTTTACTAAAAACTATTAGCATGAGTTCAAATATTTACTTTATATAAATGTTATTTTGAACCTCATGAAGCAGAAAGTTTTTATGCTTTCCTTGGCAGCCTATAATTAATAATACAATTAAAAAAATTTTATTATTATATGCAGGACATTTAAATTTCCTCTTTAATTAACATAAAGTTTACGTAAAAAAAATACTTACTAATTATCTAAATATGGCTCTATACTATCTGGTTTGACATCATGAGCTGAAAATGACAATTAAAAATTATTAGTTAGCATAATTAAAAGTTTTTTTTTCTTAATCATAATACTATGAATGGAACTTTATCTGAACTGAAAATAGTGTTTACAGTGGGTCAAAACTGTTTACGAACATTTATAAGTGCTAAAAAACATGAATTGGAAATTTTATTGAAACTTGAATGCTTCAAAAAGGTTTAAAATTAAATGTTAGCAAGTGCCACCGCCCGAAAAAAAAACTTTAAAAAATTGACAGTTTGACCTCATATTTTTTGGAAACAGATTTTTTGGCGGTGGCACTTGATGACATTTAACAATTGATTTAAAACCTTTTTGAAATATTCAACTTTTAAAAAAATTTCCAAATTTCCCAATTCAAATGTCCAAATTTAAGTTTTCTAACAAACATTTTTGGCCCACTGTGTATAAAGCAAAACGTAGTTTCAAGTAATCACTGCTTTCATTAGTGATTACTAATCTAAAGAAAGTAAACTAAGTCTAAAGAAAAAAAATTACACACAGGGTGAGGTGTTTCATGACATAATTAATACAAAACAACAGTAGTCAGCAACAGAAACAGTTTTAGCATATAAGAAATACACAATTAAAATATAATTTTGATTTTTATTAAAATAAGAATGTTCTGTAGGGTAAACCAACCAGTGAAGGAACACTACCCAGTGATGGAACATTTCATATATATTGATTAAAAATAAGAATTCGAAAATTTTTCTTTAGATTGATTGGTAACTTAATAGCTTACTGCCAAACAATAGGAAGTCATCTAGCAATGTTTTGGATTACCTGGTCAAATAGACTTCTCTAGAAAAAATTTTTAATTTGTTATTATCTCTGCAACACCTTGTTTCTTTGAAAAAATTATAAGGTGAGTGTTTGCATTTATATGTTTGAAGTGGAATTTATTGCACATAATAGTTTTATTTTTCTCACTGTGTAAAAAAGAATTTAAAATACAGTTATTGAAGTTACTTTTTTTTTTTTTAAGCATCATAGCATAATAAAGTACTGAGATAAGGGGGTGTTTATTCACTGGATCCCCAAACGATGAAAAACCAGTGAAGGAACAAGTTTTCCTTTGCTGGTTTTTTTTTCTAAGTTAATGAAAATAAAAGATAAACTTTAATTTTCTTGTACCTTTAGTGATGTTAAAAGTACGAAAAACAACTTCTAACCAGTGAGGGAACAGGCATGTTCCTTTACTGGGCATAAATTTCCCAGTGAATTAACAGTATGTGTTAATATGTTGACACTTTATTTTTCAATTCATGATTACAAAAAAAAGTTAACATTTTCCAAGTATTTATATGTTATAATTTCAAGAATAGGCTTGCTTTTAAATATTTGCATGGCTTATAAATTCATAAAGAGCATTAAAAAATAACCAAAATTAAGTGTTCCTTTACTGTCTGTTTATTCACTGTTAAGAGCTGTTCCTTCACTTGGTCTTCTTACTACTAGTTATTTGAACCTTCAAAACTTTAAAATAATATTATGTATGTAAGTTCTGTACAATATTTTTACATAATTTGCAATAAGTAACAAATATGTTGATACTGTCATTTAACTAAAATTACGAATTTTGAAATTAATATGATTTTTTAAAAGGCAAGCGAAGATTAAGTGTTTCTTCCCTGGTTAGTTTACCCTAGTTATTTTTGACAAAAATCTCTACATATTTAATCGCTTGTAATATTTTGCAAAACTTCACTTTAAAAAGACAAAATTAACGCAAAGGGACAAACAATCTTCTAGAGTGATACGGTTATTTTGTTTTGTAAAAATATGCAATACTATAGCCTTCAGAAATACTATTCTGCAAAGTCAGTGAATAAGGTAATTTGTGAGGGGATGGAGGAAACATACTTTCACAATTCAGTAAAATAGATTTCCTTAATCTCAAAAAAAATCAAAGAATATGGTAATCAAGGAGTTGGCCTCAAGGTCGGAATATCCTGGGTTTGAATCCTACTTTAAACATGGATAAAATTTCTCTCTCTCTGTTCTATCTGTCCTTGTAGTGTTGGGGAGATGTAATAGATGTGGGTTGGGTGAATAACCAGTTAGTAGGGTATTTATAAATAAGGATGTAACAATTCAGCTAATATTCGGTATTTGGCAAAGTATAATTTTTAAAAATTATTTTTTGACCAGTTTTTTTTTGGCGAAATTCAAATAGATTCAATAAAGAATATACTAAAATCATATTTTTACTTTTCATTATTAGAAATTGTTTTTCCAAGTACTTCTTAAATTCTAATTAAGTCAATTAGTTGATTTTATGTTTTGAAAGACAAATTGAAAAGTGAAATTTGAAAAATTGAAAATGGAACATTGAAAAATTGAACTTTATAATGATATGAGAGTTTTGTAATACATGCCTAGGGTAATTGTGTAACTAAGTGAAAAACACTGAAATTTTTGTGTGCAAAAAATCTATATAAATTTATACACCGTACATGTTTCGTATTTGACTTTTTTTTAAAATAAGATTTATAATTACCTACCAATTATAAATATCACACATCCCCATACTAGCTAGTTTAAGAAAAATCTAAGTTCTTACAAGAATCAATATGTTGGATTTTTAAAATCATGTGAATATGAATCGCAATATCGGATTTTAAAACCGCAATATCGGATTTTAAAATCGCAATGCATGATTTTTTAATCACATGAATACAAAACGCAATGCATAACTCCTAAATTAGGTAAATACGAAAATTTATGTTTCATATTCAATAGGCATTGCGATATTAGCGGATTCTGGAGCAGTTTCAAACATTCAAATTAGTTAAAATCCGACAAACTAAAAGAATCAATTGGTAAATTTCTGCCCATTGGAAGAAGAATTCTGTGTATGTAGTCGTCTCGTTAGCGAAACTTTCAAAATTTGAATTTTAGATAAAGGAATTTTGTGAAAATTGATATTTCAATTGAAAACAATCAATGATTAACAAAAAAGTTTTACAAAATACTTTATTTTCTAACTTTATCTTCTTTACTTTACTTATTTTTAATTCTAATTAGGAACAGAAGGATAAAACTATATATATATATTTAATATAAGGAATAAAATATATAAACTCTTTGCTTAGAGTGGTTCAATAAGTTAAGCATATAGCTTCCCAATCCCCTTTAAACTTAGCAAACAAAAATATTGAAACATTCAATCTGGCATCGATTTAATACCCCTTTGAAAATCATACTAATGTTAAGATAATATATTTCTTAAGTCATAAGTAATAATGTAATAAAAACTCAAAGAATTTAACACATAGGACATTATTATTATTCTGAAAGGTCACATCACAATGGATCAAATAAGGAATATTATGTGCTATTCTTCAGCAGGATTGTATGATAAACTTTTTAAAATAAATTATAAAAAATTAGAAAAAATATTTGCATATCTAAACCATACTTTTGCCTAACTTTCCTTGTTTAGATGTTACTTTTAAAGCCCCAAATACTTCGAATTATGATTACANTAAACTTAGCATACAAAAATATTGAAACATTCAATCTGGCATCGATTTTATACCCCTTTGAAAATCATATTAATGTTAAGATAATATATTTCTTAAGTCATAAGTAATAATGCAATAAAAACTCAAAGAATTTAACACATAGGACATTATTATTATTCTGAAAGATCACATCACAATGAATCAAATAAGGAATATTATGTGCTATTCTTCAGCAGGATTGTATGATAAACTTTTTAAAATAAATTACAAAAAATTAGAAAAAATATTTGCATATCAAAATCATATTTTTGCCTAACTTTCCTTGTTTAGATGTTACTTTTAAAGCCCCAAATACTTCGAATTATGATTAGAAATATGAATTTAAAGAGGATTAAACCATAACTGCTCTCAAATAAAGAAAATTAAAAAATTAATGATTTTAATAATTTATATATTTAATCAAATGAATTTTTTATTATAATGAATCTGTCCTTACTATTGACATTGTAAGCAATACTAAATTGTGTAATAAACATACTAAGTTGTGTAATAATAATATAATTTTGTATAAAAAAAACATAACCATTGATAAATACCTAGATATTTATGAATTCTGGGTATTTACCCAGGTAATTACTCAGGGTATTTATTCCAAGTTTTAAAAATATTTTACATCTATAGGTGGCATGGATCTACCTATATGGAGTCTACAAAAAAGTTTATACCATGAGGCAATATGTTGCCAAAAGTTGTTGGAAAAAAATATCACTTAACAGGCTCTTTCTTAAGCCTTTAAATGTATAGGAAGATAGCTTCATAGTGCTTACAAGGATTTTAATAACAATTTTTTTATATTCAGTGGAAACACTAGGATGAATTACAAGCAATCTAAAATTAATTTACTTTGCATTTCATAGATGACTTCAGAGGCAGATAAAAGTCTTGAATGAGAGTCATGGCCAGGATCAATTTTTCTTACCATCAACAATTTACTAAACCAACCATCATTATTCGAGTTGTTAACGCATCCCAACCATAAAGATCTGAAAATGCATTTATTACCAATCTGAATTAATTTTATAAGAAATTTCAATGTTTCATATGAATTTTAATAATTTATAAAAATTTCAATAATTCATAAGAACCTCAATAGTAATTTATAATTCCAAAAATATGAAATTATATCATAAGAAGTTCAATCATTAATAAGAATTTCAATATTAAGTTATTTCATAAGAATTTCATTAATTTATAACAATTTCAAAATGAATTTATTTCATAACAATTTCAATAAATCATAAGATTTTCAGATTCTATGAAGAATTAATTTTTTTAATTTAGCATACCAATGGTCTCAAAATTTGAGGGAATTACTCATTTGAAATTCAAAACTAATATAAAATAAGGCCCCCGTGGCAGAATCATGGCAACACAGTGACATTGTCGCAGAACATTACCGAGTTCTTGCAGAAAGATTTTTTAAAAAATGCTTATGATTTTTCTATTCTCATTTGAGAATAATGAAAAAAAAAATAATAATAATAATGAAGAAAAAAATTTGGTTTTCTGTTCTACAGAAATTGTCATTCTATTTTTTCATGCAGTTATTACTGATAATTTCCACATAACTTTCAAAACCCGATATTTATAATAATATATTATGACTAGTATTATGACAGATATTTTTAATACTATATTATAACAACTGAATCTCGAAATGAAAACACGCATTTAGTAACCCCTTTTGAAGAGTCCAATTTGCGTGATTTTGCAATTAATCTCTTTTATCGGTAGTTACCGCTACAGATTTCATGATTTTTTTTAATGTGATGATGAATTACAAAATGCGAAAAGGGAAATAATTAGTGTGCTATTTCCTTACAAAATGTTATAATATCGTCCATAATATTATACAAAGAAAAATATTACACATTCAATTAAAAATATTTTTTTATCTGATCCAATTTTTTAATTTCTTTATTTTTTGAAGATAACGCTTCCCTTACTATAAATTAGCAACATGTATATTTGTTATTTTAAAATTATCTTGCATGTCACCGAAAGCCAGAAAAAACTCTGCCACAGAGAATAAGGTTATCTAATTAGAATTATAAGACAGGCATCTTCAATAATTGTAAAAAAATAAATATTAGATTAAAAATATAATGAAAATAAACATAGGATTCAACACACATAATCTTTCACCCCAAAGCAACCCTTATATATTTTGTAAAAAGAGTCTTTCAAAAATTGATGGGTACACCACCTCTAAAATTCTGTTTAAGTTAGAGCTGAAAACATTTCTTTTTCGAAGCACAATTCAAACCTCATGTTTATTTATATTTTGTAAAACATCTTCAAACTTTCTCAAAACAATTTTGCAACTTAAAAAATATACTCCCTCCGTAGTTAAAGGTGACCCTCTGAAAGATACAAATACATATTACAACACATACTAATTAAGTTTCACATTTCAGTGAGAGATGAATACACCAACGAAAAATGATAACAATCAGAGCTTGTTTATAAACAGAAAGTCAGACACTTACTAAATTAGCAGCTTTCAAAATTTTGTTTAATAAACAGGGTGGTAGACAAATCTTTCAATAAAAAATAAGCACTTTTAGAGTACTTTTTGAGCACTCAAAAAATATTTTTAAGCTGGGTTGGCAAGGTTAAGGACAGAATTGATTAATCCACGGCTTAAACCCTGGTTTAAACCATCCTGTCCATAACCCCTTTGTCCAAAACTGTCTAAAACCCTTTTACTTAAATTATGTCACAATTTTATTTGAACAATATTTAAAAGGTAAAATAAACATAGAATTAACAGGGGTGTTTGTGGGACCCCAAAAAATCCCCTGAAACTTTTACGGACTTACTACCGACATTTTGGAGTTTCGAGAAGGGGGGGGGAGAAATGAAAAATTACAATTATGAAGTATTGAATGACCTAATTATAAAAGTTCAATGAATTACTTTTTTTGCAAAATTAATAACCATAAATTTTCAAACATATAAACTACTACATTTTATGTAAATATTTTAAATTACCTGAATTAATTCTTTAAAAAAAATNATAAAAGCGGACCCTGGTTGAAAGAATGTGAGTAATTTTTTCACAATTTCACGAAAAACGGACCTTTCACAAAATGTCTGGACAGACCCCTGATAGTGGTGATACATCACCAGAGACAGTAACTGAAACAAATGTTATGCCCTTCAAAACTGTTAAGACATTTTTCAGTTACTTTGTATTTCCAATTTAAACTAAGATATTTATGTTTAAAAAAAAAAATTTTTTTAATAGATGTCTTTTTTATCATCCTGCAATGCAGAAATTATAAAATAAAATTTAAAAAATATTGTGAAAAATAAAAGGTTAATTTTTTAACAAATTCAGTATTTTTTTAAAAAAATTATTATTATTTTTCAATATTGCAATATTTATCCTTATGCAAAAAAATTATTTATCAGTATTAAAAGCATATTTATATTTAAAGGATTTGGTATTCACTTTTGTTGCTTAATGAATTGTGGAGCTTCAAAAATTATAAGCCTTTTCCCATTATATTATATTATTTTCCTTTAATGAGTTTGTAATTGTATAAAAAAATAAATTGCATAAATTTGTATAAAAAATATTAAATATTTATTGACACATGTAATTATTATGTGTACAATGGTTACACCTATAGAATTTTAACCTTTTACCAAAGTTCAAGATTTTGGACAGTTTTATCCAGTTTAAGACAGTAAAACCCACGTGTCCTGTCCAAAACCAGTTTAGGACATCCAAAAGTTAAAACTCCAACCCTGTTTTTAAGCACTATATACATTAACAAAACGCAAAATAATTTTCAGACTTTCCGTAATCATGATAAAATAACTAGTTTCTGACAAAAAACTCTTTTCTTGATTACGTAAGCCATTATAAAATGATCGAGATTTTTCGGTTTGATATCAGAGGGTGGAAAATTAAGCCTGAAATTGAGAATATCTACTTGCAAAATGCCGCAGAGTTTGCAAATGAGAGTGCAATAATCTCACCCAGCTGCTAGAGAGTTTTTGCGCACATGCCGACTCCCAAGTATCTCATCATACATATTGGCGCTTCCATACGCTATGGACCCACTATACGCCAAAATAGCTTGTGGTTGAATAAATGTTGAAAAAAAAAACAATTTTAAAAGCATGCTTTTGCATAATATGGCGAAATTCGACATGGGAAAGAAAAATATAAAATTCTCGAAAGAGGAAAATTAAGCACTTTTTAAATACACTCAATGAAAAAAGCACCTTTAAGAGCTTTTAAAAAACGAAAATAAACACTTCTAAGCACTTTTTAAAAACGCTACGCACCCTGATAAATGATAAGACAGCTGATGCAGAAATGTCGACAATTTTTAATAACATGTACAACATGAATATTATTGAATTAAAATTACAAACAATTAAATAATTAATCAATAAAACAAATGAGAAATAAACAGAAAGCTATACTGGATGGAGATTATAAAAGTAATCAAGTTTCCGACGAAAATAATAAAAATAATGAAATATTTCGATAAAATAAATATTTCTCGAGCAAATAAACGCAATAAAATAATTAACTAAATAAATATATAATAGTTTAATGTCATTCGACCTTTAGCTCGACCTCCTGCAAAATAATGATATAAATTTTTACCGTTTCACAAAACCAAAACATAAAGCAAATCTTAACCTTTGGAAGGTGAGTGAAGCAGGCAATTTCATTAACAGAATTTTACGAACAAGTGAGGACATTTTAATTATTAAATTAAAAATTGACGGATATAGAGAGCTGATTGTTTATATACAGACGCTTTTGACTACTTATTTCTACTCGGCTTTAGGAATGAACACCAAACTGTTTGAAATTAATATTTTTTTTTTTTGAAACTGGTTGAGAACTGTAATTTAAGGGACAATTTACGTTGCATTCATTAATACTCACATATGCGAATCAGATCTTGATTGGTGAAATATGTTAACTGGTAAAAAAACTCAAATTTAAATTCAAATTTTTTTTCCACACACATTTTTAAAATTTACCAATGCTTCATTCTTTGTAAAAGCAAAATTTAATTCAACAATTTTCTAAAACGAAATCGGTATTATATGTATTCGTGATTGTTGATGTTAATTTACGTCGCACTAGAGCTGCACAATGGGCTATTGGCGACGGTCTGGGAAACATCCCGGAGGATGATCCGAAGACATGCCATCGCAATTTTGATCCTCTGCAGAGGGGATGGCACCCCCGCTTCGGTAGCCCGACGACCTGCACGCGAAGTCGAGCACTTTACGGTAGCACAGTTTAACGAGGACCAATACCGCACACCCTCGGTCCCTACGCAGACTTATCCAAGTGGTCACCCACCAGCGCACTGACTGTAGCCAGTGATGCTTGACTTCGGTGATCTTCTGGGAACCGTGTCTTAACGATCAGTCCACTGCGGGACGTATTCGTGATTGCAACAGTCGAATGCGCCATTTGGGGAAAGACCGGTTTCATGCCTTTGGCCCTTCTCTCTTCCATCTTCTTCTCTTTTCAGTTGTATAGAAATGTACTACGATATTTTCCTTTTTCTTAATTTTTTTCTTTTTATTTAATGAAAATATTTTTTTTAATTTTCATGATGCTTTTCTTTAGAGCTATATAGCTCTAAAAAAAAGTATTAGTATTGTCTTTTTCTTCATTCTCGAAGAGTTTGTTCCTTTACAAGGGCTGATTTACGATAAACTATTTTCAGAATGAAATTTTGTTTTCTTTAAAATGAATTTTTAATAATTGTATCATTTACATGTCAATTTGCTTTTTTAAAATATTGTTATTTGTATAATTTCTTATTCGTTTCAGATACTTACATAATTCTTTTTCATTTTATTTCCGTACTTAATTTTTGTATATTGTATTTATTTATGTATATTGTATTTTTTTAATTCTCCATAAATTAAAATAGTTTGATGATTTTATTTAAAAAGTTGTTATAGAATGCTTTTAAATATAATTTTTGATTATATTCTTCAATATTAATTTTTTTTTTCTAATGAGATCATGATATCAAGCTTAATTTGAATTAAGGCTTGAGCAACATACTTCATCTTGAATTTATTAGTAACAACCATTGTGCAATTTTTTTCAGCTGCATCCTCAATCAATCAACGATGCGATCTTGGGATTCCTGTAAAATGTGACAGTGGATTTGTAAAACAAAATTTTTTGCTGGATAATTTGGAATTGAAGGCTGAATTGGTAATTATTTTTTTTAAGCTATAGAAAATCCCCCCCCCCCAATGATCAAAATCCAAGCGGAGAGCGTTTACAAAACTTCCTTTAACAAATTTATAACTTAATAATATATAATCAGGAAATTTGCTTTTATGTATTCTTAATATAATGAAATGTATAAATTTTTGTTTAAATTATTCTTTTGCAGTGGTGGTAAAAACTCATTCGTTTCTAAGTAAATTAATAATGCTTTGCTAACCTGAGATAAATTATTTTATGAACTTAAGGCATAAGGTGATTAATTTTATTAATTTTTCTTCTTCTTTTCTTTCTCATAGTCTGCTAGATTGCAAAGTCTTGATGGAGCTGATTTTAAAGAACATACAAGCCAAGCACTTCGTCACATCATGCCTGATGATGTTGCTGAACTCTATAGCTGTGTGGGCAATAATGAAAAAAAAAAAAGATTTTTTGGTTGAAGAGTGTCAGACGCAATTATTGATAATATTTAATCTCTTTTCATATATATATTATTCCATTTGTAGTTCGACAGTATATACTCAAAATTTGTGTTGCTAAAGTTACCTGTCTAGAAAATGAATTTTATTTTTAAAAGTATTTATACACATTAAAATGGTATTATTATTATTAAATTTAGTTGGCAAATCAACATCTATAACCAGCTTTTTTTTTCTTCAACTTNTATATATATTATTCCATTTGTAGTTTGACAGTATATAGTCAAAATTTGTGTTGCTAAAGTTCCCTGTCTAGAAAATGAATTTTATTTTTAAAAGTATTTATACACATTCAAATGGTATTATTATTATAAAATTTAGTTGTCAAATAAGCATCTATAACCAGCTTTTTTTTAAACTTTTTAAAATACTATAATTTCAGTATTCCATGAATTTTCAATGAGTTTATAAATTTCTATCATTCTCTGTGTTTGGAATAATTTATAAGTGCGTAATTGTTTGAAATAATCTTGTTATTAGTATCACCATCTCCTTTTCCAGTCACAGTAGAACGGAAATCATACGATACTTCAGCTATCCAACTCTTCTTTTGACTTGCACTTTAAAATATTCTGATCATTGTTACATGTGTTTGTACTAACAGTTTTATCATTATTACAGTTAATGTTACTAGATTATTCTTGTGACAATGAATCAAATATGCATCAAATCATTTTATTTTTTGTTAACTAGTGTATGTACGATGGTCAATTAAAATAACTAGTCATTTTTTACTTAGAGTGATTTTAGTCCTAATTAAAAAAAAGGAGCTTAACAAGGTCACCCCACATAATATTTTCCCTGAGAGTAACAGAAATCTGGGCTTCAACTAATTTAGTTTTAGATACCTTTTAAATAGGTTCTGAAATAATTTTATGTTTATTCATAAAAATACCTACTTGTTTGTTCATATTTTCTTTTTGTTATGTTTTAGAAGCTGTTTGCAGTGTTTTCACAAACACTAAAGTAAATGAAGTTTAAAGCATTATTAGAGGCTGGTTGTGCCATGCTAAAGAAAGAAGAGTTTATTCTGTAAAATAATTAGAGAAATAATTGTGTAAATAAAAGTTTTACTTATGTGATTCTAATATTGTTTATTTTTTTCTACTCTCATATTTATTTGCATGCACTAAATTTATGCTGCAAAAAATAGATAAATCCTTAAAAGAAGTTATCATTTTTAATATCTTCAAGATATTGATTTAAGTATGCCTTCAGCTAACAATTCTTCAGCAAAACATGGCAACAGCTGTTTTAGTTTGTATATAAAAACAGATAATTTTCTAATTTTATTTATTTTTTAAATTGCATCATTGACACAATAGACAATAAAGTATGTGATCCATAAACATCTATTTTGAGTTTTTGATAAAATAGTAACTTCATTTAAACTATTTATAATAAAAAAAAATTTGCAGAAGAATGTAATGAGAATTATTTTGCCAATTAAATAATTTCAGTTAATAATATGAGACATTTAAATATTACTGCAAAGTTAAAAAGAAAATTATTCATTATTTTATTATAAGATCCTTAATATATCTACTACATTAAACAATATGAGCAATCTTGAATTACGATGTACATAAAAGATTCCACAAGGCTCATAATTTAATTTAATTAGAAATAATCTTTAAAGAAAACTGACGCTAATTAGGAGACTTGTAACCTTCCTTGGTGTTCAAAGGGTACATTCAATTAGACTTTTTAGTAATGGCCAAGTTTTTATTCTAAACAATAGAAATGTGAAATCCTATTAACTTGCATATTTTTGGATTAAAATGATACATTAGTCTTTTCTTTGGATTTATTTATTTTTTAACCCTTTTGCTTTACTAATTTTCCTAAAAAAATAGTTGAGGAATAGCCCATTTTTCTGGAAAATTAGTAATGCCAATCGAGATAGATTGATGTACAAATTAAAAACTATCACCTTTATTTTCATTTAGAAAACATTTTTCGGACCTCTAATTCAGTAAATTTAAAAGAAAAACCTTATTTAAGTTGCCAATATTAATAAAAATTTCAGAGATGAAATTTATTTCCAAAATAAGACACCCTCCTATTACTATCATACCATTTCCAACATGCATCCCACAAGTTACCTAAATCCTTACTAAACAGGTCTTTTTTTGTCCTAATGCCATCCTAAAGCGTTCTAAAGCTATCCTGAAACTGTCCTAGTTATGACATCATTAAGATATCTGCAGGTGGAACATTCTAACACGCAGATGACATCCCTAGGACATTTAGCGGTAAACATAGGACTTCCTCTGGAAGTCACAGAATCCTAAAGATGACAACTTTAGGATGTCGTAACGAAGTCAATGTGCTGTATGGGATGTTTAATGTAGTTTTCAGTTCCATTTGGTTTTCCAACTTAAAAGATTTTAATATTAATGAAAATCAAGAGAGAAACTAACGAACTTCTTTCCTCTATGACTCTCCACACGCTAATGGGGAAAGCATGTGAATTGTTGCCATGGGTAGAGAGTTCTGCTCGACGCCACCTGCAGCCCATTTTGATCGCTAATTGTATTGTAACCATGCGCATGGTTACAATACAATACAATGGAAATACAATACGCGCGCGTATTGTATTTCCTACTACAAATCACATTTTGAAATCTCAATCATAAATAGCATAGTAATTTTTATAAAGAAATACTGTGAAGTATGAATACTCAAACCAATTCTTATGTAGATTCTATGTTATAGAGGTTTTATAATTCTATTCTATATAAGACTTTAATAATAGAAATCCAGTTATCTAAAAAAAGAAATGTAAAAATATTTAACTTTCTGTTGTTATATTAAATTGTAATTTGCTTAAATTCAAATATGTTTATGTAAATATTGCTAAACATTTATATTTGGCTATTTTTAGTATCACCCATTTCATTCAGTTTTTTAAAATTTATTTCGGCTTCATTCATTTTTTTTTCAATGCCCTGAAAAAAATAAGTTCTTTTCCAGTAAATATTCCTAACTAATACAAAACCAAAATTTCTTGACAATCGGGAATAAAAAATTGTTTACTATATTTTCCCTTTTTCTCAAGAAAAACCCTCTTTCAGTTTGCCCTTTGATTTTTGAGCCCACATTGTAGGGTGA